AACTTCTTCAACTCTCAGCATGCCCACTGAGTGAGACATTCTCCATTATGGCTGTGAAGAATAAATAATTAACTTTATCTTATCAGATCTTATTGTGCTCCTAACAATGCTTCACATAACTTATCATCCCCACTGAATCAGGCTGTAAATCAAATTACACAGGAATGAAAAAGGTTAAAAAAATTCTACAGGTTTAAGTAAGGAAGTCTTTGCTGACAATATGGGAGTACTGATGCTGATAGTGCATCCATTTCCAAAACACTGCATGCAATGTAATGATTTACACTGACCACAGTCATCTGCTTTTAATTGTAGAAGGGATAAGAGCTTATATCAATGTAGATAGGTTTGGCTTTTGTCAACAGTGTTGGTGTCAGAAGCCACAAACAGCTTATTTGACTCTACAGAACATCAGTACGACACCACTTAATTATCCTGCTGTACAGCAGTGCTGAGTAAAAAAAGGTGTCTTGCATATTTACAGCACAAGAATACTAATAAACAGCTTGCTACCCTACTTGCCCAGCCCAATACCCAATTATAAAACACAGGAGCAACAAAGTTGCAAACACGTGAAAGTGTTCAGGGCATCATTTGCCAAAATATACTGTCAGTGTTTCCTACAATGCTAATACAGTCAAAATGCCTGCTTGTAGCTAGCAACAGTTGTATATTGACTTCTATAGAAAGTTAGTATTGGAAGCGATCATGTAAGCCATTTCACTATTTATAATGTTGTTGTATATTTCACAGTTGGTACTGCACTGATGTTGTTGACTTGCTCGCCGAGCTGGCTTGTTTTTGTTCAGACGTTTCATCACCATGCTAGGTGACATCATCAGTGGAGCCTCCGATGAAACGATGTTATTCTACTCCACTTAGAATTTATACAGGCCATCCATTATGGTGAGTACTGTCATTTCCGGTTTTGACCTGTATGGGTTTATTTATGGGGTCTAATTCTATATGTTTGTTGATTGAAGTATGGGTGGAGAATCATTCCCGTGCGTGTCCATGTTTGGCTTGGGCCACTGAGGTTACTTTGTCCCAGTTAAACTGATGGCCTTTGTTGTCTGAATGTACAGATATACAGATATTAAGGAGAGTTCATCATGCCATTTTGCTGCTAGCTGATGTTCATGTATTCTGATGGTTAGTTTCCTTCCTGTCTATCCGATGTAATGTTTGTGGCAGTCCTTGCATGGTATTTTGTAAACCACATTGGTTCTGCATGTTGTGGGAATGGGGTCTTTAATCCTTGTAAGTGTTTGTCGTAGAGTGGCTGGCTTGTGGGCCACCATGATTTCTAGTGGTCTTAGGAGTCTTGTTGTCAGTTCCGATATGTTCCGGATGTAGGGAAGTGTGGTAAGTGTGTTAGGTCGTACTATGTCCTCCTGTTATTGTCTGTTATATAGGATGAAGTTGCAGGCTTATCTGTTTAAAGCGAGGATCTTGTATTAGTGTTCTTCTTCTTCCTGGCGTAATTCTGGAGTGCTGCATGTGTCCTGGCCCATTTAAATAGTGTCCTAATACAGCTTTGTTTGTGGACATTGGGGTAGTTGCTGTGGAAGTTGAGGATTTGATCTATGGGTTGCTTTTCTGTATACTGAGGTTTGGAACTCCCCTTTTGTCAGTCGTTCTACCTTAACATTCAGAAACAGAAGTTGATTATTGGTTTCTTCCTCCCTTGTGCATTTAATCCCTGCGAATATGCTGTTGATGAACTGGTGGGTCTCTCCTAATTTGTTGTGTTTAATAATGACAAATGTGTCGTCTACATACCGGATCCACAGTTGAGGTTGAATGTGGGGGAGGGTAGTGTTCTAGTCTTTGCACGACTGCTTCTACAATGAGTCCTGAGATGGGTGGCCCCATTGGTGTACCATTGATCTGTTTGTATATTTGACCATTAAAGACGAAGTGTGTGGTGAGGCAGAGGTCTAGTAATTTAAGTATGTTGTTCTTGCTGATGGAGTTGCTGGTCTGCGTTGCTGTTTCCTCTAGTAAGGTGGCCACTGTTTCTTTGGCTAGTGGGATGTCAATTGACGTGAATAAAGCTGTGACATCAAAGGATACCATAATCTCGTCGTCACTGATTTTATGTTCTTGAGGGTATCGAGGAAATCTTGGGTTGAGTGGATAGAATGAGGTGATCCGTCTACTTGGTATTTCAATCTCTGCTGTAGGTCCTTGGCAGTTTGTGTGAAGGTGTGCCTGGTAGGGAGACAATGTGTCTGAGAGGGATGTCTGGTTTATGTACTTTCGGCAGTCCACAGAAGCAGGGGGTGTTTGTGCCTTCTGGTTTCATTCTCATGAAGTCTGTCTTGGCTATCTGCCCTGCATCCTTTAGTCTCTTCAGTGTCTGGGTGATCCTATTACCTAGGTGTGGTGTTAGGTCCATCGCCACCTGTTGGTAAGCGGTTGTATCTGCAAGCAATGTCTGTTTTTTTAACGTAGTCTGGTTTGTTCATAATGACGGTCATGCGCACTTTGTCTGCTGGTAGGATGCACTACTACAGCATCCCAACAAATACACCTGTACTAAATTACAGTAAAACAATAGTTACATTAACAATATAACTGAGCTTATCTGGATGAACCATTGGAGAAAAATTACCAAATTGAACTCAAAAATAATGAGTCATTGAAAGCAAGAAACTGTTTCCACTAGTTGGTGAGGCTGGGATTGGGAAATAAAGTCAAAAAATTAAAACCAAGCATTTCAGGATTGAAAGATTGAGAAGGTTTGGAACGCTTCTCTGTAAATGTTCATTTTAAATCTGTGGTTAACAAAAACGTTTGTCAATCAGAGATGTTAAAGGGATATTGGCGAAGACAAGTCTGTGGGGTTAGATCAGAAACCAGTCATAATCTCTATGAATGCCAGAACAGTCGCAAAGGATTAAATAGTCTACCCCTGTTCCTACCTTTGTCGCGCTTATCTGATCATATCCAGAGCAATGGCAGTAATAATTGATACTTACACCCAAGAGCTCAGCAGGAATTTTGTTTTAAATGAACCAATTTTCCGCTCCTAGTCCTTACCAGTAACATTTGCTGGCAGTGCCTTCATATATGGAGTTTTACTTAGAGGAGGATCAAACTAATTCAATAATATTCTAATGACAAAAACAACTAGCCAACACTCACCATTCGTTCACACATATGGAAAATAGCTATTGGGCAAGACTCTGGTCAGATGTTTGGTCACACAGCCATATTTCAGGCAAGCAGGGGTAGTAGAAAATTGATGTCACAACATTCATTATACCAGGCCACTTTGTCGTTTGGCTTGTTAAATGTATTGAGTATAGGTAAGGACGTTCTTCCTATTAATCTAATATTAAAATACAGATTGTTTTAAAACAAATTCCCCAGTATATTTTACATTTTCTGTCAATTAGTAACTGCAGATTATAATCACAGTCCAGATTATTAATACCTTTGACGATATTAAAATGTAGCAACTAATGGAAAGATTTTAGAACAATGACGGAAGAGTCTATTACCCGAAATCACCATAATTTGCATTGTTATATATTTAACAGGAAGATTTCTACGCATTGTAACATAGATTTTACCAGAGTTGGACACAGACACTACCCAGAGATTAAAGATGAAGAAAAGCAACTAAACCACCTGATCTGTATCAACCACAAGGATACCACAGGCAATAAGTATTTTCAAGACAAAATTTTAAAGTTCAGTTTTCCACACTCTGACAGTAGGAAGTTGTAGAGTTAAGTTATAGGACTAATGACCCCAGTCACGCCATAATAGGTAGAAGGTCAGTAGAAGTTATGCTTTCCACGCATTGAAAAAGCAAAAATTTCAGAGGTCATGGACCACTGTCACACACCTCAATGCAGCAGCCTAAGAACAGATCACCCACCCTTTTATTTAAGAGAAAAGATAATTACTATCATAAGAAATAATCTATTTCCACATAAATCATTGATATTTATTTACAAGTAAAGGAATTTTTAAAAAAAATTTCTCCATTGCAGTATATGTCATCAAAAATGTTGCAGTTTCAGTAGCCATTCTCTGCCCTCAGCTGATATGGAATCTGAGGAAAATGAACTTGAAAACTGTCTTAAAAATGCCTTTGCTTATTCACGCAGACAACAGCTTCAATGTCTTTTCCTTTGGTTTAACCTCAGCAAAAACTAACCCTGGCAACTTTTTCTTTCAGAACTATGATTTAAAGGTAGAATAGAATTGGGCCAGTAAGTTCTCTCTGGTGTTATAATTTGTATTTTCTGTTATTCTCAATTCTAACATGAACTGCAGATAGGTACAGGTGTATTATACATTTATTTTCAATAATAACCTGTAAATGGCATTTCAACACATTTCTTCCACTTAAATGTATGGTGTTCTACACTTAGTACTGACAGCTAGATACTTAAAAAGTGACAAGAATGAACTGACTATCCCTGTGATTCACACCGCCTCTGTGGGTAGATTTACAGGAGATCACGATTTGCAAAAAGGCATGTGAAAATCAATGTTCCACCACATTGTGTCAAAGATACTAGATGTTGCACAAGCGCTCCCACTGCCTAATACTTAGAACATAGAACATAGAACATAGAACATCACAGCGCAGTACAGGCCCTTCGGCCCTCGATGTTGCGCCGACCTGTGAAACCAATCTGAAGCCCATCTAACCTAAACTATTCCATTATCATCCATATGTTTATCCAATGACCATTTAAATATCCTTAAAGTGGGCGAGTCTACTATTTTTGCAGGCAGGGCATTTCACGCCCTTACTACTACGCCCTTGTAACATAACATGCAAGAAAAAAACATTAAATAATATTTCAAGGCAAAGGATCATATAATAAAGTAAGTGCGGCTTGCTCTGTTTCACATAAGCAGATCAAGTCTCAAACAGCACTGATTAAAATGTAGCTCACTTATTATGGTAGTTCGACCCCATTTTCACCACAAGATGGTGCAACAACAAAATCAAACCAAATCAATGTAGTTACCTGCTTCCTTGCAAACTGCTGCCAGATCTGCTCCAACATACCCATGAGCCCTATCTGCAAGCTGTGTCAGTTCGACCTCAGTCAACAAAGTGGGAACATTCTTCAGGAACTTTCTCAAGATATCTGCACGATCAACAGCATTAGGAATACCAATCTCTATTTCTTTGTCAAATCGTCCAGGTCTCCTAAGTGCTGGATCCAAGGCATGAGGTCGATTTGTTGCACCAAGGACAAGGAGCTGTCCTTCACTTCCCTCCTAACAAAGAAACAAAATCATAATTCATCAGTACATTTTTCAATATAGTTTCTAACTTAAGGTTTCAGCCCAGTGCTTCAGACTTAAAGTCAATTCCTCAAACTTCAAACTTTGGAACTTTACTATGTATAGTTTGTAATTTATTTACCAATACTCAATAAACATCTTGACAATATAAGGCCACATCAATATATATCTATAGTAGCAGAAGTTAATCATATTTATTCAAGCAACTACATTTGTCACATTTCATTACAATGGTAACCAACTATTTTAATTGCTATCAAAACAAATTATTCCAAACAATTTTTATAATTTGTTTCCACAATGGAAAATATAGAAATGGTTAATCTATTAGTGGGTAGGGAAAAAATCAGAACTCACATTGCATCATAATCAGAACACACGTATTTCAGTAAAGAACATACATTAAAGACACTGCAAGGAAAGAAGTGGCAGTGGATCATACACTCACAGAATTATCATCTACATGTGCGAGGAGAGTGCATGTCACTTGTTCACAATAATGTATGTGTCCACTATACACATCTTTACATATCTCAGCCACTCAAATGTTTTACAAATAACCATTTGTTCAGTGTTTTCCTTGGAGTAATATTTGCTGTATAAGGTAAATAATTCAGAGAGTTAATGTTGAGATCCACCCAAACTTGTGATGTCACGCATTCTTGGGGTGAATGGTTAGTATTGCTGGAGGTCCCGATGGAGTAACTCTGCCTCAGAAAATAGTTATAAATATGCCTAACTAGTTAATGTTGATTCTACATAATGCTATAATGCAACAAACTACACTTAGTTATGTAAAACAATTGCCTTTTCTTGTTAAGTCTCAATTGTTGCCTGTCTACCTTCTACCACTGATAATTAGGCTACCTTGTATCTAATGGACTAGTAATGCAGAACCCCAGGCTAATGTTATGGGACATGCGTTTGAATCCCATCATGGCAGGTCATAATTTTTTTTAATCTTCCACAGTTATGTCCATCAAAAGGAAGCATATGGTGTCAAATGACACAATAGAGACCTTTAGAGATGATAATACCAGAAGATATAGGAGCAGAATTTGGGCCATTTGGTCCATCAAGTCTGCTACACCATTCAATCATAACTGATATGTTTCTCAACCCCATTCTCATCTCTTTTCCCTGTAACCTTTAAACCACTTACTAATCAAGGTCCTATCTATCTCTGTCTTAAATACAATCAATTACTTGGCCTCCACAGCCCACTGTGGCAATGAGTTCCATAGATTCACCACCCTCTAGCTGAAGAAACTCTTCCTCATTTCATTTCTAAAGGGTCATCCCTTCACTTTGAGGCTGTGCCTTTGGGTCCTAGTCTTTCCTATTGTGGAATCTTCTCCACCCCCACTCCAGCTAGGCCTCTCAGTATTCTGTAGGTTTCAAACAGAACACCATCCCCCCTGCCCCTTATTTTTCTATACTCTATCAAGTACAGACCCAGAGTCCTCAACTGCTCCTCATTATGACAAGTCCTTCATCCCTGGGATCATTCTTCTAATCCTCCTCTGGACCGCTTCCAAAATCAATACATCCTTCCTTGGATACAGAGCCCAAACTGCTCACACTATTCCAAATGCGGTCTGACCAGACTCTTACACAGCCTCAGCAGTACATCCCTGCACTTGTATTATAAGCCCTCTTGAAATGAATGCTAACATTGCATTTGCCTTCCGAACTGCCAAATGAACCTGCATATTAATCTTAAGAGAATCCTGAACGAGGATTTTCAAGTCTCTTTGTACTTTAGATTTCCAAAAATAGTCTATACCTCTATTCTTCCTACCAACTGTATAACCTCAATTTCCCACATTGTATTCCATCTGCCACTTCTTTGCCCATTCTCCTGTCCAAGTCTTTCTGCAGCCTCTGTTTCCTCAATACTATCTGTCCCTCCACCTATCTTTGTGTCATCTGCAAACTTAGCAACAATGCCCTCTGTTCCATTGTACAAATCCATAATATACAATATGAATAGTTGTGGTCCCAATGCTGACCCCTGCAGAACCCCATGTGTCACTGATTGCCTTCCTGAAAAAGATCTATTTACCCTTACTCCCTGTCTTCTGTCAACCAGTCAATCCCATATTCAAGCCAGTACCTTGCCCCTAATACCATGGGTTCTCAGCTTATTTAGTAGCCTCCCGTGCAGCACCTTATCAATAGGTCTTCTGGGAATCCAAATAGATCACGTCCACTGGCTCTCTCTTGTCTAAATTGTTCATTACCTCTACAAAGAATTCTTTCAGATTTGTCAGGCATGACATCTCCTTGACGAAGCCTGCTAACTCAGCCCCATTTTACGATGCACTCCCAAGGTACTCTGCAATGTCATCCTTAATAATGGACTTTAAAATTTTGCTAATGACTGAGATCAGACTAAGCAGCCTATAATTTCCCATCTTTTGCCTCCCTCCCTCCTTAAACAGGGGTTTTACATTAGCCATTTCCAGCCCTCTGAGACCCTCCCTGACTTCAGTCTTTCCTAAAAGATCACAACCATTGCCTCTACAATCTCTTTCAGAACCCTGGAGGTGTAGTCCATCCAGTCTGGGTGATCTATTTACCTTCAGACCTTTGAGGATCCCCAGCACCTTCTCCTTAGTGATGGCCACTACAGTCACCGGTGGGCACCGCAGGGGCTGGGATGCATCATCAGCCCTGACAATGATATTTTTATTTGATGTTTCCATTCTACAAGTTTCCAATAACAATGTGTTGCTTCTGTCACAGTGCCCCACCAGGGGCTGTTTAACCCTTTAAAGTTCGTTAAGACGAGAAAGGAGAATTAATGATGTGCAAGCATGACCAAGTATTCTAAGGTGCTACATTTAGGTTTCAGTCTCTTACAGGTTCAAATCCCGTGACAGCTGAAATTTCAGGGGCCTTTTGGCACAGTGGCTGTGTCCCTATCTTAAAATCTGACCTGTGCTATAATATGTTTGAATAGTTGATTAAATAATTATTCTGTTGGCCATTTGATTTCCGTGTTTGATACAGAATTCCACCTGGCGCTATCTAACTTGTTGAGGATTTTATTTAAAAGAGTTGAAAGAAGGATTGGTGGCAGGAAACTACGCCCTTCCGCAAGTCACCAGCAGTTAGCAACATGAAGATGTGATGGTATTAGCCAGATTTTGTGGCCAGTGATAAAGGAAGGGAATTTGTCAAACACCTCACATACAGCTGCTCACAAAGATTTGACAGACTTTAAGGCACCATCCTAGATTTTGAGTATTTATTCCAGGGTGGCATTCTCTACACAGCATCTGTGGGCAAGATTTAAAAAAAAATGTCCTTACATCAATCAGATTGAAAGTTCTTGTATGCTGTAATGCAAAGAATCCAAAACAGGACATGTAAACAGAGAAATAAAACCAAAGTGCTGGAGAAACTCAGCAGGTCTTGCAGCACCTGTGGAGAGAAAAACAGAGTTAATGTTTCAATTGCAGTGTGACTCTTCTTTGGAATCGTACAATACAAACATAGAATCATGATTACACCACAATGGAGCTCATTTAGTCTGTAATACATTTCCACAAAAGCATATGTCTGTCCCTACTAAACAGCGCTTGGCTTGTGATCCTGCAAATTTTCTCCCTTCAGATGCTTATCATTGAATGTTAACAGTGCAAGAGGCTATTTAGATCATCATATCTGTGCTGGCCCTCAGAAGGAGCAATTCACCTACTGCCACTTTCTTGCCTTCTCCCTTTCGTTTTGCAATTTTTCTCTTTTTCAGACAATAATCCAATTCCATTTTGAAAGCCTCAATTAACCCTGCATCCAAAACATTCTTAGGCAGTTCATTCTAGATCCTAACCATATGTTGAGTGAAACTGTTTTAACTCCTATCGCCCTTGTTTCTTTGGCCAAGTACCTTAATTTTGTGCTATGTGCTTTATAATCTTTCTACTATAGGAACAGAGTTTCCTGATTGACTTTGCCCAGACGCCTTCAGATTTTGTACACCTCCAAAAAATTTCCTTTCATTCTTTCTGCTCCTAGGAAAATAGTTCCCTTTCCAATTCCCTTAGAAAAGCCTCAATGAAATCCGCCTCCACCATACTTGTGGGAAGACTTGTGGCACAACAAAGAGCGCCCCTACCTCCGTTCAAAAATTTAGGTTTGAATCCAACCCCCAGACTTTCCAAGGCTGAGTATTCAGAACTCAACCAAGATGAGCCTCAACTCAGTTTAAGAATCAACCTGCAACCCCTTTCAACGTACATCAATGGCATACAGTAAGAGCAGAAGAGATTCCTGGCCAGCCATTTGGTGGTAAGAATATTGCAGTCACTGGCATAAATATTGATAGCCTTCAGACTACAGCATGTAAACACAGTCATGTTGCCACAGAACCCTAGACTCTGAGTGCACTGTAATTTACCAGCACCACACACTCAGGCAGTATATTCCAAAATCTAACCACACACTGCATATTATATATATTAGTGGCTGACTCTTTTGCCACACATTTATCAATGTCTTCTAGTTCTTGATCCTGTCACCAAGTGAATGATTTTTTTCTACTTTGTCTAGACCTCATGATTCTGAGCATCTTTATCAAATCCCTTCTCAACCTTCTCTTAGCTAAAGGGGAAAAGGCTCAGTTTCTCCAATCAATCCATAGAACCTAAGTCTTTCCAAGCCACTTTGAAACTGGATTACTTTATTTGCATCCTAAAAGTGAAACAGAATCAACCTGCATCTGTAATCGTACTTTATCCTTACTCATGTTCTACTTGCCTTGGTCGAGAGGATGAAAACTTCTACATAAATATATGTTTAACCAATCACCACTAGGTAGAAAAGCAGGAAATGTAAATTAGGTTTAAATGATGCACTGAGAGCAAAACAGAATGTGAAATACAGACAGAACTAACACATAGAGATAAAAGAAGCAGACAGAAAAGGTTTTATCTTTGTAAATTTCCAACGCTAATTTTCTTAGAGGGAATGAGACATCACAATTTTAAAATTCATGTCTATGACCAGAGAATTGTTCAGTCGTAACAACACCTGACAAACTATTAAAAGCACACTTACACCCGAATGCACTAGCCCTAACCTTCAGTCATCTTTATTGCAAAATCATTTAATGGACAAGTAGACAGGATGTTCATGCCATTGTCATCATTTGAATGTTAAGACTATTGATAAGGAGCGTCATAACATTCCTTATGGAGAAGTTGGGTACCTTGGACAACAACTAGTGGATTTTCATGTTTAACTTTACAATGCAGACACCAGGAGTTAGTGTCTCATTTATTTCATAATAACTACAAGTATTGATAGACTCATGCAAATTCTTTCAAAATAAATTCTAAATTTAAGAGTATAATTCTCAAAATAAAAAATAAACAACATTTACTATATATCCAACAAAATGAAGTGCCAGACTTTTTCACACAAAAGCCAAATATGTTTAAAATCAAATGGTCTTTCTTTCTTTGATACTAGAGTCATAAGTTGAGATCCCCTAAATATACTGGGCAATTTCCCAATATTTCATGCCAAAGTCCAAGAAAAGATCATTTGGCACAACATCCATGCCAGAAAGTTCCACTGACTGGAAGTTATTAGACAGAGCATTTTTTTTTTTCCGGAGTGGATTGGAGAAAGAGAATGAAAAGAGAGAGGGAGGTAAAAATGTTAAATGGCATTCTCACCAAACACAGATGAAGCTGAATTAAAACTGTGTAATGATGGCTAAATGAAACACATGCAATTTCTCATTTTGAGAGTTTCACACTCAATCCTCACTCGGTGGCTCTGCTGCCTCACAGTCCCAGGGACCCGGGTTCAATTCCACCCTCAGGCGACTGTCTGTGTGGAGTTTGCACGTTCTCCCCGTCTCTGCATGAGTTTGCTCCGGTTTCCTCCCATAGTCCAAAGATATGCAGACTAGGTGGATTGGCCAAGTAAATTTCCCATAGTGTCCAGGGATGTTTGGGTTAGACACGGGGAAATACGAGAGTTGGGGAATGAGTCAAGGTAGGATGCTCTTCGGAGGGGCGGTGTGGACTTGTTGGGCCAAATGGCTTGTTTCCACACTGTACCTATTCTACGATAGAATGAAATTACCATTTAGAGGAGAGGTGCCCTGCATCGCTTGGACTTGCTGCTGTCTGTGGAGTCATTTTTTCTTGCTCCAACTTTATTACCACAGTACCTGTGCAAGGAGTTTTGGCACTGCCATTTTTAACTGCAATTTAAATCTGAACAAATGTACAACATTTGTGTCATTTACAGCAAGAGGGGGAAGACAGAAGGGATGCCAAGTAGGTGGTGCACCTGAAGTCAGCTTGTAGCCACCATTACCTGAGAACCCAATATATACTCAGAGGTACACTTAATCTGGGTCTTTCTGAGGAACTGAGAATCCACAGAATATACATGGCGAGAGAGGCTGTGAAAGAGTTTAACCCAATTTAGGACATGAACCACCTCAAAAACCAAACTCTCCTACAGGGATAATACTGACAACGGTTGTCAAGAAGATGACAGTATTTCGTGTTCATACTCAGGCAAATTCTGACAGGCTACAGGGGAACATCTGCAAAGTCAATTAATTCTCAACACAAAGACAAATGAAGCAAGCAGCAAATACAGCTTGTTTTGGCATCATTGTTTCCATAACCAACTATCAGCAGTACAAGTGGACAGTAGACTTTGTCTGAACGCAGAGCACCAATGATAACCCCTAATATGTCCATAAAAGACTGGTGAGCACAACAGCCTCACACTGAAACCTTAACATGCAGATCATGTGAACAGTGTGCAATAATGTCAGTTTCCCTGGCAAGATTCTATATTTTAAAGGCATTCTGGTGTGGTCTCAACATTTTATGCGGTAAAACAATTTGAGAACACTTCTTAGGAGATCCCTCAATATCTGACTCTTAAGGCATCAAACAACCGCTGAACACAGAGTGACACACATATAGTCAAAATCATTGTGGAATACTTTGCAGCATTTTGAAGTATGGTTCAGATCCCTTGAAATCTCAAAGCAAATGCTGTATATAGCCTAGCTAAGTCTTCAAGATCATAGTAACCTGTTGCATTACTCTGAAATTTCATAATGCAATGACACACATTGACATAGTACCTGGTTGAGGAGGATGACAACAAAATGCAATAAGGAAGGAACCAAGCTGAGGAGGGGGAGACTTTTTTTTAATAGTTACAGCTGCTATATATCAGCTGCTAGCAGTGTAAACTGGTTAGCACAATCTTAATCACCCTATCCACCACAACTATTCAATACCATACCTACAACATTGAGCACTTCAGTGCTCTTTAGTGAGGAGTCCACTGCTCTGAATCTTAGCCCATCACTTATTTAAGCTCATACTTGTAAATGAACATCATGGCTAGTGGAGATAAGTGCTTTCAAGGATCATAATGAGCGGTGTTGAATGTTGTAAACTACTGAACAGATGATGGCACAATTTCTGTTCCTTATCGAGAGAATAAAGTTAAGAAAGTTTTTATATTGAGATTTTTATGACTGCAGAGGTCTAAGTACTTCTAGGTCAAATAGATACTTTTGTTTTGTATTGTAATCACTGTTGCAATGTAGGAGACATGCAATCCCAGCAAATTAGCTGGGTGCTGAGAAATGACTTAAACCAATTAGTTTTTACAGTACACCATTATTGAATCCACATATCATAAGATTCTAAGAAATCATATCATTCAACAATGGTTAAGAAGAATGAGTGGAATGAAACCTAGACTTATAATAATAGTTGATCAATGATAAATCTTTCAACATTCGGGGCGGCACGGTGGCTCAGTGGTTAGCACTGCTGCCTCACAGCGCCAGGGACCCGGGTTTGATTCCAGCCTCGGGCGACTGTCTGTGTGGAGTTTGCACATTCTCCCCGTGTCTGCGTGGGTTTCCTCTCACAGTCCAAAGATGCGCAGGTTAGGTTGACTGGCCGTGCTAAATTGCCCGTAGTGTTCAGGGAGGTGTAGATTAGGTGGGTTATAGGGGGATGGGTCTGGGTGGGATGCTCTGAGGTTCGGTGTGGACTTGTTGGGCCAAAGGGCCTGTTTCCACACTGTAGGGATTCTATGATTCTATTCCCTCCACCTTGGTTCAGAAATACACCAATTTTGTGGAAATTGTGATGGTTTTTTTCCTTTTCTTAATAATAAAGGCTATTTCAGAATAGCTACTTTACAAAAAAAGACATCTTCCTGTGAACCCACAGCCATGAATGTACAGTGGCAGAAAAATGCACTAAAGTAGCAGTGCACAAGCTTAATTTGTCACTGCTCAAGAAACCTAATCTCAGTTGCAACAACTGTAGAGAAACAACACAGAAGTTAACAGCTTTCTAATGTGGACTGCAAAGAGGAACAAAAAGAGTTGTGATCAAGATGTTCTGTCAAACCTCCAAGTCTCTGCCCTAGAATTTTAGCTGATCAGCTTCTGCCACTCCACCAGCCAAGATACCTAGCTCAGGTAGCCGATAAGGAAAACATAAACATGAATTTATAAAAAATAATGAGAAATATACCTGTGAAAAAGATCTAAATTCAGCACGGTGACTAAAGAGATGCCCTTTTAGGATAAAACTTGATGTAAAAAACATAAAAGCTAATAACAAAACAGGTTCAAAAAAAAAAAAGATGAGCCATCGATGAGAGGTACATTCTCACCCAAGAATGGAATAAATGTGTGGTCAGTCTAACAAAGAAAACAGTCAGACAGTCAGACAGTCAAAACAGCAAGGCAATCCCTCGCAAATTGCAAGATCATAGACCAATCAACTACAATACTCTTGACAAAATATCTGGTGAACAAGCACACCAGTTTTAGCTCTCACTGCTTACTCACCGAGCCAATACCATCCATTAATGTAAGCAATGATGCTACCACTCGCTTTTCAACTTCGTGATGAGCTCCTTCCCGCTTTGGGCATATAGCATCAAGCTCATCTATGAATATTATTGAGGGTTGACTGAAAAAAGAGATACGTCATTCAATACAAGTCACAGTGCAAGGATAATTTTACAAATATATTAAGAATGACATATATAATCTGATGAAAACAAATCTTTCCCATGTTCAAAGTCCTAACACATTCTTGTACAAGCTAGGAAATATGAGATTATACTATTCTTGTATGAATATGGATTACTAAATTTATGTTTTTAATTTAATTTAAAATTGATTTTGTTCACAAGATGGGGTATCATTGGCTAAGCCAGTATTTATCATCCACCCTTGACTGTCCTGGAATAAAGTGGCTTGTGAGGCTATTTCAGAGGATAGTTAAGAATCAACCATATTGGTATAGGTCTGGAATCAGATGCAGGCCAGATCAAGATGGTAGGTTCCTTCCCTAAAAGACATTAGTGAAGTAGATGGATTCCTAAGACAATTGGTATGGTTATGTAGTTACTATTTAATTCCAGAGTTTTACTGAATTCAAATTTCACCATATGCTATGGTGGGATTTGAACCTATGTACCCAGAGCACTAGATTCTGGATTACTAATCCGGTATCACCATTACACAGCCAACCCCATGTGCTTCTGAATCAAACTACAGATTTAAACAAAGTGCATCTTTCAGGCTAATATGTATCAGACTGCCTCAATGATCAAGGAGAGAATCAATGACAATAATAACATCAGAGTCAGATCTGTAGACAAAAGCAGAAATTTGAGAAAGAAAATTTGTTTTAATTCATTTGTGGGATGTGGGCATTGCTTGCTAGGCAGCATTTATTGCTGTCCTAGTTGCCCTTCAGAGGGTGGTGGTGAGCTACCTTCTTGAAATGCTGCAGTCCACTTGCCATAGGTTGACCCACAATGCCATTAGGGACGGAATTCCAGGTTTTTGACCCAGTGACAGTGAAGGAACAGCGATATATTTCCATGTCAGGATGGTGAGCAGCTTGGATGGGAACTTGAAGGTGGTGGTGGTCCCATATATGTGCTGCCCTCGTCCTGCTGGATGGAAGTACTCATGGGTTTGGAAGATGCTGTCTGAGGACTTTGGTGAATTTCTGCAATGCACCTTGTATATAATACACACTGCTGCTCCTGAGCGCTGGTGGTAGAGGGAGTGGATGCTTGTGGATGTAGTGCCAATCAAGTGGGCTGCTTTGACCTGAATGGTGACAAGCTTCTTGAGTGTTGTTGGTTCAACAGTGACGTTCCTGCCACAGAGGAAGCAGATTGGTGGGCAACATGTTAGCTAATTTTACTAAGTTACACATTTTCAAATTCACTTCCTGCTAGTTTCCTATTGTTTTCTGTTTGACAAAAACAGTTTAAGTTTAATGCTTTTATTTAATTTTCCACTCTTTTGGTAGCTTAACCTTTCAGTGGTGACCTCATTTTAAGAATTTTATAGGTCAGTGTCTCAGAGCTTTATATGTTAGTTGCTTTTTTTTTTGAAAGAAATGATCAATATTTTTAAATGAAAAAGTTCAGTGCTAAGTGTTTTAATGATCAAAGTCTCAACAATAGAGACAACAGATTCAACATGAATGGCAGACCAGCTGGGACCAACTAGTTCCATGCATTTCCTGTTCAGTGTGGGAGCTCCAGCATGTTTCAGGAGTCCTGGATAACTATGTGTGTAGGAAGTGTTCCCAGGTGCTCAAGATCAAGTTCTGAATTTCAGGTTACAGTGCAATGTTTGAGATCATTCAGCAAATAGTAACCAGAAGAGAGAAGTTGAAACTAGAAGTTTGACGTCATCAAAGACAAAATCGAAAAGCAGTAACTAAAGAGGATATTCAGAGAACAGATAATTAATTTACAAATTAGGCATATTCCTTTAAAGAAAAAAGGGAACGGTATCCCAAGATAATGAAACTTGGGAGAAAACAAAAATAAAAGTTAAAATACAAAACAGGCTTATTATAAATTATCGGGTAAGAATCAGTTAATAAGGATGCGTACAAAACACATAGGTAGAAATCAAGAAAAGTTAATTTCTAAAAGATTATTAAAAATCATTAATTTGAATGTTTGAACATAACACAAATATGTCGAGTGTAGTTAACTAGGAAAATCTACATTTTGAGGCAAAAGACATTGAAAAAAAATGAGAAATTTGCATTCGTCCTCACAAAGGAAACAGGTGATGTGAGGAGTCATGTGAAGTGCTCAATTTATTACGAACTGTCAGTCAACTAGGACAACTAAGGATGGATAACAAAACTAACCAGCCAGCAATGTCCACATCCTGTGAGGGAATAAAAACAACTTCTAAACAAGTCCTAAGAAGTTGGATACAAACCAGGTGTTTGGTTAAGGTGGTTTGCATTTGGACTACAGACAGCGTTAAGTCGAATGGATACCTAATTACACAAGGGCACATTTCCAGCCATCCAGGGAATTCACACAGCCCTTGGTTTAATGATGGGTCAACACGAAAGGACTATGGAGTTTCCAAACTACCTGCTGCAATATTACATACTAGACAAAAGGGAAGATAAAAACTCAATTTATGGTTGATACAAGTGAATGGCCAGCGGCAATTTCCCATAGAGCACCAAAGAAATTATGATAATATTGTACAAAGCATTTGTTAACCCAAAATTCAAGTACTGAGTGCAAATTTGAGCATCCCAATAAAACCACTGAATGCAAATAATGATCCACCCGAACAATCAGAGGATTAGGAAACTTACAGTCACAAGGAAAGACTGGAATTATTGTCACTGGGGCACAAAAGGCTGAAATGATACCTTGTAGAAATTTTTAAAATTCTTCAAAATTTTTGCACTGTGAAACAAACTGATTCCTCTCTGGATTCAGTGAGGACAAGTTATTAATTTAATATTGTCTCTAAGAGTCAGGAGAGGATTATGAGAAATTTTGCTACATGAAGTGTTATTGGACCATGCAATGCTCTACCACCAACTTGCTGAGACATTATTTTATTTTCTCTTTTAAGAAAGAAAAATAAGTATTTGAAGAAGAAGAAATCATGCAGCTATCGGAAATAGGTACAGCAACAGGATTAGCTTTGGATTGCTGTAACAAAGAAATGGTAAAATCAAAATGGGTCGGATGGGTTTTTTGTGTCCTACTAATTCTTCATGTTAATAACAGTATTTTGCATTTCTTCCACAGTTACCGTTGCCTTGCTTCTGCAAAGATGTGTCTCAGTCTTGCTTCGCTTTCTCCAAAGTACCTGAAACAAAGAAGGCCGATACTTCAGCAACACAGACAAAAACAGCACTGAACACTTAAAATTTAGTATCGAAGAGAAAGATGAATAATCAGAAACATGGAAACACTAATTTTATTAGCATTTCTACTCTGTAGTCAGCATCACTATCTGCAAAATAGATTCTAACAAATATCAACGTACTATCATTTAAAATTCAGAATGGCATCATGAAAAACAATGATATTATGCAAACTAATGCTCACCAGGACTGATAATTGCCAAAGGGAAATTTTCCCCCACATTTTTTCACCCAGCATCAGGTATCAACACTCCCAGATGTGACTGCCTAAAGTTCTCTCCATTCTGCCTCAAAACAAGTCACTGTTCCAGTATTGAAAAACAATCACCAAGTGCACAAGCACCCATTTTTTCCATAAGCTGGCAGTTCCAGAACATTTTTTTCCCCCAAAATGTATTTCTGATCAGCCTCTGCACTGAGTGGCTTCTCATCCCAGGTGATTTTAATCTCCCTCAATTCATCCTGTTCTTAGTCCTGTAAAATTACCAAGTTCTTATTCTTCCTGGATCTCACGTAAACATCGTAGCTGCTTGTGGCCATGACTTTGCCCTTGCACCTCACATGGCTTTAATCTCCCCATCTTATCAATTACTGATTAGGCCTTCCCTAATCACATCTTTGCAACATTCTCCATTTATATGCCAATTCCCTGTCCAAATCTTACTTCCTTTTGTACCCACCCATAGAAAACAAAATTTTTCCCAAGTTCACTGAGAATGTCTTCTCAAATTCCCAATTATTAAGCCTGTGGCTGTCTGTTTAACACTATTTCTCCACCATCCCTCATCACCTTTGGTGCGCATTAAAACCATCACTATCTCTCTTCATACAGGCCATTCCCATGGTCATCATTTCTGGATTTTTTAAGTTCAAGGCACAGGAACTTGAATGGCTAAACCATTATATATCTGGCTGGGTCACAAAGCATGAGTGGGTCCAGCTCTCATCTGCAAAAACTGTTCACCATTCCAAATTATCCAGTAATGCAATGGTAACCCCAGCAATTTTCTCTCCTGCAAGTTAGAGATGAACTTTCGACTAGATAGCACAATTCTGCTTCCATAATTGCCCATATCGCCTACACTGTTTCAGCTCTTCTGCTGCTGAAATATTTATTCATGCCTTTGTTGCCTCCAGACTTGATTATTCTGATGTCATCCTGGCTGGTCTCTCACATCTATCATTCTTAAACATGAGGACAATCAAAACTCTGCTACTGGTCTTCCAACTCTCACCAAATGCCACTAACTCATCATCCTTTCTCTTATTGACCTATACTGGCTCCTGGTTAAGACAATGATTTCAAAAATCCTCATCCTTTTCTCCAAGTACTTACGTAGTCTAACGTCTCCCTATCTTGGCAATCACATCTAGCTCTATGCCCTCCAAGATACCTGCACTCTAATTCTGCCCTCTTGAACATCCCTAAGTTCAAACACTTCACCATGGGGGGAACAGGCCTTCAACTGCCTAGACCCCAAGTTCTGGAACTCTTTCTTTGCACCGCCCCGACTCACTTTCCTCCATAAACACTCATTCAAACTTACCTTTTTGACCAATTTTTTTTTAACATCTTTCCAAATATTTTTTGATGTGGCTTGGTGGTATATTTTGTTTTAAAATGTCTCCAAGAAATGCATTGGGACATTTCGTTACATTGAAGATGTTGTATAAATATACGTGGTTGCTAAATATTTCACTGACTATACGTTCAGTAAAATTGTTTCAGCTGTGGGTTCCACTTACATCATGATATACCATTTGACTTACTTGCTCATAATTTCGGGTCCATTGATGATAGAAACATGAGCTCCAACTTCATTAGCTACAGCTCTGGCAATTAAAGTCTTCCCAGTACCTGGAGGTCCAAACAGCAAAATTCCTCGAGGGGGCACAATTCCTAAACCACAACAAAAACAAAATGCACAGTAAAGATAACAGCAGCACTTTTACATGGCACTAAAGCCTTGACTAGACGAAACTTGTTTCTTCTTTCAGAGCTTCAATTTCTTTTTAATTCAGGAAAAAAATTATTTACTCAATAATCAGCATGTGAAATTCACTACCACCTTAAGTGGTTACAGTGAATAAAATAGATGCACTTAAAGGAGAGCCTAGAAAAGTAGTTAAGTAGATAGAAATAGGAGGATATGTCGATAGCATCAGGTGAAGTGCGAACTAGTAGAAAATAAACATTGCGACAGATCCATGGCTACAAAGTGCTGGAAAGTTCTACGTACTTATCTGAAATCCAGTGAGTATATCACACATCAAGGTCAAGAAAATGGTTAGATCTTTATTATAATCTAAATACTATATACCACTTGATAAATTAGTGCCTGAAAGAGACAATTCCTCATTTCTTCCTCTTCTGAACATATTGATATTGAAACATTAATTTCCAATTGCTAACAATTATTTGTGACCACTTCATCTATATGAGCCCATATAGTGGATGTCAAGTTCATCAGTTGTACAAGTTTTGCAGCAGAAGTTAATCCTGCCCTTCTTTAGAGCCACACATTTATATTTTCCCACAAAATTCAGCAAATAGCAATCAGGAACTAGAAGGCTGGCTAATTTTGATTTTGCCCTTTGCAGGTTCATTAAGCTAACTGAACCTTCCTGACTTGTACAGTTGAATTCCATACTCAGTAGTACTTTCATCCAGAGTTTTGATTTCCTTAAAGCTTTTCTTTAAAAATAACTTTTACTTTCTTTTTAGAGAGACCTACCACCAAACCACATGCTTTATCAAGACAATAAGTAGGTGTCCTTCTCCTACATATTGGTCAATGCTACTCAAATTTAATCACTAGGAAGCATGCATTAGCCCCAGTCGGCTTTTCCTCCCCCTTGAGAAGTATTCAGCCTCCGTTAAACATAGTTCAGTACATTAACTATAGTTTAGTTGTGGATATCAGAAAAGTTATAGTGAGAATTGTAATCGTCAGCAAATCAGGAAGATCTATTTAAACACAAAAACTACTTTAATGTTACAAAACAAAACCAAAGCTAATTACAGGGTTTAGTCTGAGTAAGTAAGTAGAATAGATCTGATGCATGCTGAGGAAAGTTCTGCAGTCAAAACAAAACACTAGAATTAATTTTGAAAGAAATGTAACTGAAAAACAGAAACACCAGCATAGTCCCACTAAGACAAATGACCTGTTTCAGTGTTGTAAGGGTTGCATAATAAAATCAAAATCCGAGCTTATCGAAATAGTTACTTACCGTATAATTCTACTAATGATAACTGACTGGAAGACAAGGTTTGCAATATAATAGAAAGATGATGGGAAGATTTATTTCTGTTTTAACCATTATTTAACAAATGCATCGATCCAAGATTTTAACAAATAAACGCATAAAAAGTAATTCAAACAGGAGTGTAAGAAATAGGAAGAATAAGTTATTTGGTCCCTTGAGCCTGCTCCACCATTTGGCACCATAATGGGTCACATTCTGAAAAATGTTAAAATCAAAATGATTAAAGTAACATTGAGTACTGAATGATCCAGCGGTTCCAAAACAAAAATTCCTGACAGGTCTAGCTTTTGTTCAGCTTTGATATTCTTAAAGAGGTTATCATAAAAAAAGGTTTAAAAAAAAAAGTTGGTGTATTAGTATACCTGGATGCCAATTAACCCCACCACTCTCCAGATGAGTCCAAATACAACGTTCAATAATCATTGGTCTAACATGCAACTCATGAAACGATATCAGGCTGCAGCCGGTTGGGGCCAGGTGGAACTGCAACCTGCTCAGCTTCTCGATGAATGACAGCACTGATTACAGAACTATAAAGAAGATTAAAATTGTGTTTTCACCCCATTATACATTCTCCATTTTGGACAGATGCAGAGTGGCCACAGACGAAACAGTAATGGGGATCAACACAGCTCCAATTCTGTCCTTGTCTAATGTCCACACATTCGTTTTTCCTACTGAGTGACAAGCAGACATAGACAGGTCTCTTCCCAGTGCACTAGGACTAACTGATCTGAATAAATGAAGTACTAATCAGAAATTAAAATGTAGGGTCTTGGTGTCTACCTGGTTAAATCTACACCAAAAGTGCCTTTACCTGGTAAACACTTGAACGGTTAAGAATGATACATCTGTAGGCTTAATATGCAAGTCAGTGCCCTAAATGAATCTAGTTCACTATTGTATTTGGTTTTTTTTTAAAATAACAAGGATTAGTGTTGCTCAGTTCAATGTTTTGTGAATAATTAGATTTAAACCAACAGTAAGGCCATCACTTGCCAGAAATTTTCTGCAGAAGCTTTAAATAAATCATTCAAATTAACTTATAAGAAAGATGAATTCATTTAAATCAAACACTAGTGACAGATAGTTTTCAGCAGAATCACAATACGGGTGATTCTGATGCCAGAAAAGAAAGAACTCAAAAAAAGTACCCATTTATCAAATCAAGCCAACAGCAAAACTTTAGCCATGTTTTAAGATATCATACCATAGGATTTGAACAGTTGTGGCTGTTTCAAAGGTAATTCAATAATTTCTCGAATAATCTTCAGCTGATTGTCCAGTCCTCCAATCATATCATAAGTGATTTTGGATTTGGATTCTTGCGTCCTCTCCTGGTCACTGTTTTGTTCCTGCATGAACTTGATTTGAGTGAGCAAAGAAATGTGATAAAATGTATCTCTGCTATTTCTCAGACAATTGTCAGACATCAAGATTGACTCCCCCACTGAGGGGTCACACTGGTCTTCACTTTCCTGAACAGATTCAGATTTTTCAATATTTTCATTGTTGCTTGCTGAACAGCACATTGAATCATTGTGTGATTCAGGCATTTTCTCATTGTCCACTGTACTGTTGTAGGTTACAATGGATATATTTTGAGAATCCATTGGAGGAGTAAGTAGATCCAGGGTGGCATCGTTACTCTGGACAGAAGTATCATCTACGGTCAAATTACTGAAATCTGTGGACAAATCAATTGCAGTTTTCTCATGTACTGATTTGTCAAGCAAAGATTCAGCATTCAGTTGTGAATCATTGAGTGAGACATTTGATGACATCTTCAACACTGCACCATCAACTCCTTTTATCTTTGTCAGTAGTAAGTGAAACGTTCGACCATAAAATACAAGGTTCAGGAAGTTGCCAGGTAATACTATCTTCCCATCTATGCAAGAAACAAGTAAAAAAAAAAGATACTCATAAAATTGGCAATAAATATCCAAACTATCCTATCTATTTGCAGAAACCTGTGCACATATGTGCAAATGGTGTTTTGTATCCTATGATTTATTTGGTGTATAAAATGAAATCAAATTGGAAGAAAACACTGGCATGGCATTAGACAGCCTTGTTAGATCTCTGGTCTAGTGTCATGACTCTATTGTGAAACACACTATTCTTTTTGATAGATTTTACAGGGTCTCAACGAAAACTCACCAATACATAACAGTAGCACAAGGTATTAAATCCAAGAAAATTTGAAAACACTCTGCTGACTGAAAAAAAACACTTGACTGGTGAGGAAGAAATCAGACTTAAAGAACATAAAGCTCAATCAATCACATAACTTTCCTGATTTTGTTTACTGCAGAGACTTGACATAGGATGAAGACTCATCAATTACTCAGTTCCTAAAAAGGACATGCATCATTAACTTGCTTATAGTTCAGCATTACGCAGGCCTGAAAGTTAGAAAAGTGTCACATTATATGGCAGAGAGTGATATTCTGAGCTTGGAGATAAACTTTAAGAGTAGCATTCAAAGTTCACTTTACAAAATTTTGCAAGTACGCAAAGTAATACCCAGAAATGAAAATTTTCTTACCCATACTCCTCAACAAGTAGTCTGATAATTCTTCCATCTTGAAGAAATCATCTTGATCTCTGCAATCAAGATAATCAATTGCCAATTAAAATAATTTAAGCTGATATGCTGGAAAATGTATAATCATCTCAACTAACATACTACAGAACAGCAAAATATCATTAAAAATCAAGTTAAATTACTCAACTATACACGTTTAATCTAGATCTGAAATCCTATTCTTGTTTCTGGCATTCGCAGCTAGTTCAGGATGAGAGTATTAACTTCAGTTGGAGTTAGAGTTCGGAGTTGATTGTCACAGTTTTATGGCTCGTGGCCCAAGGGTCCAACTTCAAGTCTCGTCTGTCCCGGAGTGGTGCCATAAAATACAAGAAAATTCACAAGTCCCCTGATATTTCTTCACAGTAGGATACAGTTCGTGGTGTGATATCTTATTAAAAAATTAATTTTGTCATAACACTAAAAATCATTTAGTGTCACCACCAACAAGCTAAAAGCAGATTCTATGATCACTTCTTAGTACCAATAATAAAAACAGGTGAAAAAATATATTTGCTTTTAACTGTGATCTTAGGATACAAGCAAGATATGTTAACTTACACCCAAGTACATTTCTACAAGTAGTTGAAAGTGAATCTACCAGATACAAACCTTAAAGTTAAATATATTTCTTCTGCCTGTAATATTGGACCAAGCAGTGGCTCAACAGTAACTGTATCATTCACCTTGATCTTTAAATTCTTCTGGGTAATTTCATTTAACCCAATCTTACTCCCAGGAAAACTTGGGATAGGCCATGCTGTGCAAACCTACCGAACAAAAAATTGTTAGCCTGGAACCTAGAAGATCTGTACATTGAAACAACTAACATACTTAGCAATAACAAACACTATTACATAGGCAAGACTGGGAAAGACAGATCCAGGTCAGATGTTGGGAGATGGTTCTTTTCTCATAGAAACGTGGACCTGTGAAATAGGCTGCAAGGTCCCACAGTGAACTCTGAATCACTAAATTCCTTAAAGCGAGAGCTGAACCCATTGCGAATTAGGGTAGCGATCGTCTGCTATGAGATAAGTACTGTTTAAATATCAATCCAGATTGAAACGTAAAAGATTCTAATAGATCTTGACAGGGCCGATGTGGAGACAATGTTTCCACATGTGGGGGAATCTCGAACCAAACATCTCTGTTTAAAAATAAATTGGTCCACCATTTAAGACAGAGATGAAGCAATTTGCTTTTTCTCAACCGTAAGTCTTTGGAATTCCTTTCTCAAAAGATAGTGGAAGCAGATTTTTGAATACTTTTAAGGCAGAGGTCAATAGATTCTTGGTAAACAAGGGAAAGAAAGATTACAATCATATCAGCCCATGATCTTACGAGCAGACTTAAGGGGCCTACTCCTGCTCTTAATTCATGTTTAGGAGATAACAAGGTGCAGAGCTGGATGAACACAGCAGGCCAAGCAGCATCAGAGGAACAGGAAAGCTGACGTTTCGGGCCTAGACCCTTCCTCAGAAAAATTCATGTTTGTATGTTTGAACACACTCCTTGACAAATTTCATATGCCTAAGTGGTTAGAAGAGAAATTTTCAGCTTTTTTTTTTAAATAAAAGATTCATATGGGTTTTTAATTTCATTTTTCACCTCTACCAGGAGATTGTATGGCTACTGGGCAAGGTAGAGAGTGAAGTAATTGTTATGGAGAAGCAATCAGAATTACATGCAAAAGGATAGTTTGGCTAGGATGTCTTTAATCTGTCCTATACCAATGTCGTTCGCAGTCAGATTTAGTAATTGGTACTAATACATTTTGGGGAAACACTTTAAATGGAATACATTTCTACCACTTCAAATTGGTGCCTTCAGTGATGTGACGTGCATTTATAACAGAAAATTCGTTGTTATCAGAGGTCAAGTATAATAAGAGTGTGCCATGATGCTTTCCTGGGCAGATCCCTTTCAGCTGCCTCATTAGTAACTTGGCTTCATCACAAGGCCCAGAGTAGGGATGTTTTGTTTACAATTCCAAAATATTCAACTGATAATAGAGAAGTTCTTACCAACTTTCAGCAAGTCCTGCATAACAAAGCATTGAGCTAAGAATTAGTAGGCAACATCACCACTTAAATGGTGGATAAAGAGCAGCTGAACAACAGTAAGCACAACCAGTTTCTTGACTTTCAAGTGGCACGACCATGACTGACTCCACATTTGTTTATAATTTGCTGGAAATAAGATTATGACGGAAGCTGGGTACAAAGAGAAAACTGGATCGCCTCCTGACCTCTCCAAAATGCTGATTTTATGCAGGTGTGGTGCAATGATTGGGGATTCATTTGTGCTCCCAATAAAATGGAATAAAGGGGGTCTTATCGGGCAGTGGTAGTGTCCATACCCCTTTAGGTACATTTTAAAAAGGAGAAGGGTCTCACAAGGGTCTTCAAAGGCCAGATATCCAGGTTCAAGTCTTACTTGGCTCTGAAGTGTGTCACAACATGTCCAAGCAGGTTGATTAAAAATAAAAAATAGGGTCACCACCATAAGATCCTCTAACTCTGAGCCAGAAGTTCTGAGTTCAAATCCTCCTCAGGTTGTGAAGGCCACAGTGGCGTCTGTCTTAACACTCTAAACAGGCTGATTCCCAAAATACAGAGCACAAAAGTAATGCAGTTACAAGAGTTTAAGGACTGATTACAATGCTATTCTTCACCACTTGGCTTTCTGAAACATAATACAGTAGCAGAGAATGATTGCCTAAAAGTTAAAACTTAGACTACTGTTTTATGTTTTGAGTTATGTTTTGACTACTGTACTGTGGTCAAGGCCATTAAAACCCAGAGTTAAGCATCTTTCCAGGGAAAACAAGCAATGTCCTAATGAGTAAAAATGTCAACTGTCCATATTATATATGATATACTTGTGATGTTTGTCACAGGTCAACTGAAGATTAGACAGTTGGTCAAGGATCAATCATGCAAACTGCATGCTTGGAAAGAATGTATAAGAAAATGTGCCTCAGAGCTACAGCTACCTAGCTCAGAAACAACAGTCATTTGATCAATAGTTGCAAGTTGGGTTGGAGCAGGCTGACCACCTGATTTGGTCTGATCTTCGGACAAGTCCATGAGAACTGGATCACTGCTGATCGTAAACACTGTACAGATAAGCTTGTGATATTTTACTATTATTGCATTTGTTTACAGTATACCTTGTTTCAATAAAGAACAATTGGGCATGTCCTGTTGTTGAAACTGCCTTGGATTACTGGCGTCCAGAACAAGCTTGACAGATCAGGCAAGATAAAAATAAAAGTCTGTATGATCCTAGAGAAAGGTTGTCACTTTGTGTTTTGTACAGAAAATGGACTTCTTTGAATTAATTTGTCCTGAAATTTTAATTGTTTCTATCAGCTCTAGTTTTTAAAGACAGGAAAGAATGTTATCTGTATGCAAGTGATGGCCGCTAACTGGGAACTCTCTTGCGCGCCTAAAAAATGGGGAGAGAGTGAAACTGTGGTTATTGAATGAGGAGGTGCATGTTTGCAAAACATATTTCTCTACATATAGACTTATTAAAATGTTAAAGGTGGATTCCAGTGCTATCATTTGCCACACATGCTTCTGGAGTATACAAAAAAGTCGCCACAAGTCTCAGATCAGGAAAGCAATACAATGCTCACCATTCATCGGTGTTGGATACAATCACATCTCAAAAAAAAGTACCATTTAGAGACTGAACAGTTGGCTTCATCACCATCCTACCATTATATTCAATATCCATCTTCTTTATTATAAAAACAAAGCGCAGGGAAAACTCAGGGGTGTGACAGGACTTGTGGAGAGAAACAAAGTTAATATTTTGAGTCCAATATGACTCTTCTCAGAAATTCCAATGAAGTCACATTGGACTCAAAACATAAATTCTTTGTCTCTGCAGAGCTGCCACCAGAACTGAATTTCTACAGCATTTTCTGTTTTTATTTCACATTTCCACCAGTAACAGTACTTTGCTTTTCTCGATACTCTTTATCACTCACATAACGTGCCTTCAACACATTTTAGTGACAGAATATATTAGACCAATTCAGCCAACAGCTCACCAAGTTTACTTCTACTGTACTTCTCCCCACTGTGGTTTTTACCACTAAGAATAGCAAGAACACGAATGTAACAATGCACTGCAACTTGCACTGTTGTCTATTACAGTTGATCCCAAAAAGGTTTGCTGTGTGTTATTCAACTGCTGTAGTCTATGGAGATGATGTTTTCATGGAACATTGAATGCACAGTGAGGAAGGAAGGTGAACTGTTTCCAAATCAGGATGCTTGTGACTTAAAGGTGATGCTGGAGAGAGTAATAAAATAGGAAAAATAACTACATTTCTCCAAGACCTTTGTGCATTCAAAATAATATGGTACCTTCTCTGGCACTTACCTCCTGTCTGCCAGCAGTGCTGGTAAGAAGGATCGGTCGACCAATGCAGAGGTTTCCCAATTTTAAGCTGTTGAGACCCATTTGAGCAAGACATCTTCGGCAAGCCTTGGGCACCTTCTCATTAGCTGCAAACACAGACATTAATACTTGAAATCAGTTATGTACTGGATAATTAACTTTTCAAATATTCTTGCAATCAACCTGCCATAATTCAACCTCCATAAAATTCGGCTGATCCAAAACTCTCGGTCCAACAATTTCCCATCATTCTATCATGATCTCAAACTTCTCTACCCACCTTCTGATTAGCTAGTGCTTATCCAGTCACTACAGGCACTTCAAGTTTTAAAACGTACCCCATTATTTTAGCTGCCAAATGAACATTCATACACCAAAGCCATAGTTACATATTGGTCTGCCAAATTAACAATTCGCTATTTACTGATACATGGAACAGAACACACGAAGTGCTATATTTGAGATCTTGCCCTTAAGTTTCTTTGATACTACTTTAAATTAATTGTACAGGACGTCTGGTCAATTTCTTCCTTTGTTATTACTGCCCACATTGACACCAACAATTTCTCTCTGCAGGAAGTTCAGCACAGGTGCATTTTTACGTTGAAAATTTTGGATTTATACCAATAAAAGGGTAAATATCAGGATTGGAAAAAATGTTTATCTCTACATATGATATTCCTTATGAACCACAGCTATGTAATAGCTCGACCATGTAGTCAATTTTAAGCCATGACAATGAGTGTCATTAAGTTGTTTCATTAGGAGGCATTGATCTTAATTTCAACCAATTTGCATGCACTTTCAAACTGGGTTCATTGCAGAGTAATTCAGCGACGCAAGGGAAATACTAAAGCCATTAGGAAAAGTTCCTTTGCCTAGTCAGATTAGGGATTTTTATTTTGGTTTCAATAGGTTTTAGAGCCTTGTTTTACAAAATCAGAGAATCAGGATGAAAAGTCATGAGCCAGAAATTAAGTCTCAGGCATGAACTAATTGAATTGAGTTCACATTCTGTATACACCAAAAAAGCAGCTCATACTTTATGGGGGCAAATACACCCTGAACTGTGCCCTTGGCACGAGAATATCAATTTGAATCATGAAGGATCATTGATAATTGAATCAATGAATCAGACAAAGCTCCACAAGATTCTCAACCTCATTGATGTCAGAAACCACCACAAATGCAAAAAAACAAGGTTGAAACATTTATAACCCTTTTCATCCAGAGTGGATAATTCATTTCAGCCTCCTCTCCACCTTTACAGATGCTTATCTTCAGCAAATGCAATTCACTTTGTGATATCATAAAATGGCTGAACACACTAGATGCAGCAGACACTAGACCCCGACAACTTCCAGGTGCAGTACTACAGATTTGAGCTCCAGAGCTAGTCATGCTCATAGCCAAACTGTTCCAGTATAACCAAAACACATATCTATCTGAAAATGTGGATTATTGCTCAGGTAAGTCCTATTTACACAAAGGGGAACATATTAAATTCAGCCGATTACTACGGGTCAGTCAAATTACAAGCAAAGTGGTGGAGGTACATTGACAGTGCTATCAAATGACACTTACACAACAATACCTTACTCATTGATGCTCAGTTTGGATACCAGGACCACTCTGCACCAGACCTTATACAAGCTTGGACGGATAAAAGAAGCACAATTCAATAGATGACAGCAGAAGTACTGCTCTTGATATCAAGACAGCATTTGACTGGATGTGACATCAAGCCCTCAGCAACAGTGAGGTCAATGGGGATTGACAGAAAATTCTTCATCACTTTGAGTCATACTAAGCACAAAGGGAAGATGGTTGCGATTGTTGGATGCCGATCATCTCAGGCCCGGGACGTCACTGCAGGATACAACAACAACTGGAGATGCTGGAGATCTAAAGCAAAAACAGAAATTCCTGAAAAAAACTCTGCAGTTCTGGCAGCATTTGTGGGGAACGGGCAGCATCAAAGTTAACTTTTCAAGTCAAGTGACTCTTCATCAGACATCTTCATCTCTGATCACCAAACTCAAAATGTTAACTATGCTTTCACCCCACAGATGCTGGCAGATCTGCTAAGTTTCCACAGCAATTTCTGATTTTGTTTCATCACTGTAGCAAATCTTCAGGACAGTGTCCTAGGTTATTACAAAGAACAATCTAACTGAGAACTTTCAAAATGATCCTTTTCTAATTTAGATGCAATGCAGGACAAACAGAACCAGAGAATGACAGGAAAAACTGTAATCAATCAATGGACGATCTTTAAGGAAGAGATGTTTCAAACACAGGTTAGGTACAGCACAACAAAAGTAGGACTCCTTGGATGATGAAGGAAATTGAGATTATGATGAAATTACAAAGGAGGTTGATGTAATTACAAAGGAGGTTAATGATCCATGTTGAGTAAGTTTTTAGTGATAACCAGGTCAAATGAAAAATGTTGACAAAGGAAGTGAACAGGAAAGTAAGACTGGCAAAGTGGAAGTATGAGAATAGAATTGCAATCAAATGAAAGGAAAACCCTAAAATAATCTACTAGAATGTAAACAGTAAATGGGTAACAAGAGGTAGAGTGGGTCCCAATAGGTCAAAGAGAAAGATATAGATATTTTCTAATCAGACTGTTCGGAGATGGCATTACACACCTCTGGCCCAAGTAGGACCTGAATCTGGGCCTCCTATGATAGGGACATTATCACATATACTCAGAGGCATATGACAAGGTATAATATTTGGAGTTCTTTGTATCAGTGTTTACTATTGAGGAGAAATATGGCTATATGACTGTAGAGGCAAAAATAGCGAAAGCAATAGATAGTAAGAAAATTGAAAAGGGAGAAAGTACTATACTGGAACAACTGAAACCAGAAATCAGGCTAAACATTCCCTGATGGAGCACTGTAGCAAAAACACAATCAAATATTTAACGGGAACTTATAAAAGGCAAACAGAAACTTACTAAATCAAAATATCATTCTCCAGTGTGATGATGCACTCCAAACCCTGCAGTGCCCACCACTCTCTAAAGGCCTCTATCGCACCAGTGAACAACATAAGCTCCCCTCAATGGACACCTGAGTACAGAGGTAGCGCAAAAGTGGGGCAGGTTGTCAGGCACTCTGATCACCTCCGTGACTCGCTGTGTGATCTGTTAATGGCCACTTTGGCCAAGCTCAGGAGCAGGCCCTCAGATCTGCCTGCCCCTCCCAGCATGGGGTGCCCACAGATTAAGAGGGTAGGGCTGAAGTGCAACTGGAAATTTAGGTGCAGCCCCTCCAAAAAGCTAAGGAAGAACTATAAATGAAAACATTCAACAGAAGTGTGAAAAACCATTTCCCAGGCCACAAAAACTACATGTGCCTAGCACCCAGTGAATGAACTTAACCCACTATTACATGAGACTGCTGCGTGCAGCACTCCCCACCCCACAGCCCTGATGGAAAAGGGGAGTACTCTGTTTTAGAGGGCTCCCTACTTGGGATTTCTGTCACCAGAGGGTAGAATGTTACGCCAGGATGTATCTGAGTAGCAGATAAAGGTAAGCAAGTGGAGAGTCTACAGCAGTAGCCTAGATAGGAAATGCCTCCGTGATGGCATACTTGAACTGCCTCAATTTTTGATGAGGTATCAAGTTCTGGATGGCTTGGGCCACATACTGAATGTTGACCAATGACCCCTCAGCCAACTGCTCAAGCCTTATCCAACCCGTTCCTTCACCAAGTTTCAAGTCCAGTGACTCTTCTCTGTTTCTTTTCACAGATGCTGCCAAACCTGCTGAGTTTCTCCAGTAATTTCTGTTTTTGTTTATTTCAGGTATCCAGCATCCATAGGTGGAACTTGAATGTAGACTTCCTCACCCAGAAGTAAGGACACTACCATTGTGCATAGGGCATGGCAGAATATCAGCGTTTACTAGAGAAGAGAAATATGACTAAATATCCGTAGAAGGTAGTGGAGGTAGCAGATAATGTGAATATTAAAAGGGAGTAAGCACTAGAAAGTAAGCCACTTGATCTGTTGGGCTTGCATCCCAAGTTGCTGAAGGAACGGAGTTCAGAAAATAGAAGGGCTTACATAAATTTTCAACTTTCCCTAGATAAAAGGAAGGTGTCAGAGAATTGGATTATGCCAACTGTGGGAACACCACCATCTGCAAGTTCCCCTTACCACCCTGAGTTGGAAATATATTGCTATTCCTTCACTGTCGCTGGGTCAAACTTCAGGAATTCCCTCCCTAATGCATTGTGGATCTAACTATAGCATATGCACTGGAGCAGTTCAAGAAGGCAGCCGACCTCCACCTTCTAAAGGGCAAATAGGGATGAGCAACAAATGCCACCCAGCTAACAATGCTCATGTCTCACGGGAGAGAATAAAAAAAAACTACAGCACTCTTATTCAAGCAAGGTTGCTAGGTCAGTCCTAGCACCCACAGAGCAGTTAGTTTAACATCAATGAATGGTAAGTTTTAGGAATCTTTAATGAGGGAAAAAAAATCCACAAATCACTTGAAGAGTTGAGTTAATTAACAAGCATCCACAGATTAATAAAAGGTAGATTATTCTTGACTAATTGAATTTGAATCGTTTGAACAAGTAAGAAAAGGATGATAATAAAGATATAGTGGATGTTTAAGCTTGCCACCACATTCTCAGTGGTAACGAGAGACAGGCAACTAACAATGCTAATGTCACACAAACCATGCATGTATTTAAAAAAGGTCTTTCACAAGGTGATGAGAAAGAGGGGGGAGGGGAGAAATTGCAAAGGCTGAGATTGTTCTTCTTGGAACAGGACAGAGTCAGGAGAGATTAGATAAGTTAGGCCAGACAAGCTTTTTTTCATTAGGTGACAGTATAAACTCTGGCGTAGACAGTTTTAATATTTTGGTCAAGAGATGTAGGACTAATACAAGGAAAATCATTTTAAAAATTGGCAGTGACTGGTAATGACCTGGAACTAATGTGGAAACAATTATTGAAAAAGGAGACTGGATGGGCACTTGAAGGAAATAAACTTGCAGAATTACAGTGATAGGGCAGGAAAGTGAGACTGCCTGGCGTGTTCTGCAGGGAGTCAGCATAGACTCAACATGCCAAAGGACCTCTTTCTGTGTTGTAAATGACTAATTCAGGAGTGTGTTGGAATATTCTCCGCTTATGTAGACAAATGCAGTTCCAACAATACTCAAAAAGGTCAACACAATTCACGACAAGGCAGCTCATGTGTTTGTTACTTCATCTGCAACCCTGAGATTCACTTCTTTCATCACTGGTGCATAATAATTGCAGTGCATACCACATACAAGATGCACAGCACCAATTCACCAAGTTTCCTTCAACACTGTCCAACCTGTATTTTTTTTAACCACCAGACTTGTGGGAGACCACCTCACCATCTGTAAAAGTTCCCTCCAAGCCAAACACCATCTTGAACTGGAACTATTTTGCTGTTCCCTCACTGACACTGGGTGAAAATCCTAGCATTCTGTCTTAACAGCACTGGGTGTACCTGCACCACATGGACCAAAGGAGTTGTTCCCCTTCATCTTAAGGGCACTTAGGAATCAGAAACAAATGTCACAGAAACATAGAAAATAGGAGCAGGAGATTAACATTTGGCCCTTTGAGCCTGCCCCACCATTCTTCACGATCATGGCCTAATCCTGCTTTCTCCTCATAACCTTTGATCCCATTCTCCCCAAATGCTACATTTAGTCACCTCTTGAATACATTCAATGTTCTGGCATCAACTGCTTCTTGTGGTAATGAACTCCACAGGCTCACAACTCTTTGGGTGAAGAAATGTCTCCTCATCTCCGTCCTAAATCGTCTACCCCCGAATCCTCATACTGTGACCCCTAGTTCTAGACACACCCACCATCGGGAACATCCTCCTTGCATCTACCCTGCCAAGTCATGCTAGAATTTTATAAATCTTTATGAGATTCCACCCTACCCCCATTCGTCTGAACTCTAGCGAAAACAATCCAAACCTACTCGATCTTTGCTCATACGTCAGACTCGCCATTCCCGGAATCAGCCTGGTACCAGCAATGTCTATGTCTCTAATAAATAAAGATGTGATGTAAACTGGTTATTGCTACGTTGAAACCATAAGCAGCCGCAAAGCTCAGCGTGAAGTATGAATGCACACGAACAATGTGAGATGTGTTTATTTTATCCATTACTTATGCGAGAAAAGTCGGATGTAACTGAACATAGTAACTTCAAAATATGCTGCTATGCATGCAAGTGTTTCTGAAGTGAACGGTACTTTCGTTGTTGCTTTTCGGTTAGAATGCCAGCTTTTCTGAAACACATCATTAAACATCAAAATGATTGCTTCCACATATGATCACGAAACTATCAAATCCACCAAGTCTGCACTGTCAGTTATCTAATTCTAAAGGTCGTGACTTACGTTGAAAGTATTTAACAAACTGAAAGGCATACGACGATCCAGTGAGCTCAGAAGCGATGCCCTTACCTTTCTCTAGACTGTCAGTGACGGTCAGTGAGAGACAAGCGTGGTGATTTGTGTTCAGACTGTCCTCTGCTCCTGCTGGTCGGAGAGTCCCAGGAGATGGGGCTGCAGGTGAGCAACAACCCGGCTTTACTCTCGGCGATACTCCCTGATCCTTGACTGCTTTGAACTTAATTTTCCTTTTCGAAGACATAGTGTAAAGGGACTAATCGCTCACTAAGCAACACAACGCTGTTTCCATGCGGCGCCTCCGAGATTAAACTTCCGCTGTCAAAGGGGAAAGGGCAGCTCCGCTCTTACCGTAATCAAACACAAAGAACCGCCCATTCCCTTCCTACTTCCCAAGCAGAATGAGATTCGAAGTAGAAGTTGGTCGCTACTGCCTGTTTCATATGATTGTCAAAATATATTGCCTTTATATGAGTTTAATAAAACAATTTCCAACTAAAGTATCTCAAGGAATGCAAATCAAACACGAAAGTACTTGATTTAAAAATAACAACCGGATGCTGGAAATTAGAAACAAAATCAGAAATTGCTGGAAACACTCACCACGTCTACCAGCATCTGTGGAAAGAAAGCAGAGTCAACGTTTCGGGTCCAATGTCCCGAAAGACAAAACAGAGTCAATGTTTTGGAGGCAGTGTCCTTAAAGACTCTGCTTTCTCTCCACAGATGCTGCCGTTGACTTTGTTTTCTCTATATAGATGCTGCCAGACCTGCTGAGTTTTTTCAGCAATTTCTGTTTTTGTTTTTGTTCTTGTTCAAGAAAATGCTTGCATTTGTGTAAGACTTTCATCATCCATGGTGTCTCGTGAAGTTACTTGAAAAGGCAGAAGCTAATTTAGACAATTGGACAGCACTGACCAGATCATCTCTTTTAGGTATCATTTGTGGGACAAATATTGGCCAAGACACCAGCAAGAACTTCCTTTTTGTCTTTGAATTGCACTATACAGAGAATATCTAACAACTAAGCACTGGTGAACATCCAAAAGATGACAACATCAGCACTTCTACATTACACAGTAGTCTCAACCTAGATTATGTGGTCAAATCTGAGAAAGATTTACACAGAGCGTGTTAGGAGTCTGGAACACACTGTCAGGGATGGTGGTGGAGGCAGATACAAGTGGGGCATTTAAGGGACTTTTAGATAATCACATGAATATGCAAGGAATGGAGGAATATGGACCGATAGCAGGCAGAAGAGATTAGTTTCATTTGGCATTATGTTCGGCACAACATCATGGACCAAAGGGCTCATTCCTGTGCTATACAGTTCCATAGTCGCTGTTCTAAAGGTTACATGGCACCAATGTTACCAATATGCTTATAAGCAGTAAGAAAAGACTTGTATTCATATTGTCCCTTTCACCACCTCAGAATGTCCCAAAGAGTTTCATAACCAATTAATCACTTTTGAAGTGCAATCTCATTATTGGGAAACAGGAGAGTCAATTTACCCACTACAGGTTTGCACTATTCGCAATGAGATATATGGCCAAATAACTTATTTTAAGATTCCTATTCTCCAGAATAGGGGAGAGAATTTTCCTGCTGCTCTTCAAATAATACCGTGGAATATTTTATATCCAGCTGGGAGATTATGTTGAAGTCATAAAATATAACATTTCCTCAGTATTGCATTAACAGTCAGTTTGGAAAGATGTGTGAATCTTTAGTCTAGGACATAAACACAGTCCCTGCTGATTCAGAAATGAGTATGCTACCGCTGAGAAGAATGAGACAAGCAACAAACTAAAGTGTAATTATTTTAATCAACCTGTTTAGACAGATTGTGACATACCTCAGGGGCAGGTAGTACTTAAACCCAGACCTTCTGACTCAGAGATAGGAACATTATCACTTCACCATAAGAGCCCTAAACAAACTAATGTGTATCTATATGGAACTGTCTCTAGTCATAAATAATGTAGTTTAGATTTTCAAAAACTCAAATCAGTAAAAATCAATTACCTCTTAACAAATTATACATGTGCATTTATACTATGAGCCATGAAATGCAAGTCTGAACTAGACTGATTTGTAAGAGGATCCATCAGTTCATGTAAAATTCTACTTAGGATACAAGTAGAGTGCAGGGCCTCGTGGCACAGTGGCCAGAATTCCTGGAAAAAGTTCACTTGCTCCAGAGGTATGTCATTACATGTCTGAATATGTTCATTGAAAATATCTACAGTTGGGGTGCAATATAGTTTCTGTGTTATGCAAGAACAAATACCCAGGTCTCTCTTGTGGGCTGGTGCTAAAAACAAAAAGAATTAAGGTATTGTCTGGTTATGATGCACATTGCATTAAACCAGTATTGCATTAAATTGGAGGGGCAATTGAATTGTATCAAAAAGTGGTGCAACATACAGTGCAGGTAAAATGGGTCCTAAACCATATTAAATGAGCTATGTGTCAAATTCCTTTAATAGGAATTATTATCTTCCTAAAACAAAAATAAATAACAGCTTATTATCTTTAAAACTACTTTCAATCATTACCAAATTTATGAGAATATTGTACACTGGTGCTGCAAGTGATTTTAAATGTGTGAAAGGAAGTACAGAATGGGAGGTAGACAGGGTGGTGAAGGCGGCATTTGGCATGCTTGCCTTCATTGGTCAGAACATGGAATACAGCATAGGTGTTGGAACATCATATTGCAGCTGTACAGGACATTGATGAGGCCATTACTGGAAATGTGTGTACAATTCTGGTCGCCCTGCTATAGGAAGGATGTTGTTAAATTTGACAGGGTAAAGCAAAGACTTACAAGGATGTTACCGGGTTTGAGTTACAGCAAGAGGCTGGAGAAGGCTGCGGCTTTTTTTCCCCGGAGCATCAGAGGCTGAGGGGTGACCTTATAGAGGTTTATGAAATCATGAGGGACATGAATAGGATGAATAACTAAGATCTTTTTCCTAGGGTGGTGGAGTCAAAAACTAGAGGGCATAGGTTTAAGGTGAGAGGTGAAAGATTTAAAAAGGACCTGTCACACAGATGGTGGTGTGTGTATGGATCAAGCTGCCAGAGGAAATGGTGGAGGCACGTACAATTATAACATTTAAAGGGCATCTGGATGGGTATGTGAATAGGAAGGGTTTAAAGGGATATGGGCCAAATGCTGGCAAATAGGACTGGGTCAAATTGAGATGTCTGGTCGGTGCAGACAACTTAGACAGAAGGTCTGTTTTCGTGTTGTATGACTCAATGATTCTATCAAAGTGCAATTCAGTCAGCAATTTATTTATCTTGTTTAGTCTTTCTTATCCACAAATTGATGCAAGTCCAAATTCTAAAAAGTACTTAGAAACTAAATGCACGAACTCCAAAACCTTTTGAAATTAAGTTTTTGAAGCAGATTGTTTGGAAAGAACTCGCACTGCAACTTGTTCTTGATCCATTGGCTGATGAATATTATCAATAAACTGAGCATGGTGTGCAGTTGGAGGTGCTATTCTTACAAATGCTAGCTGCCCAAATGGCCCTGTGGGGGAACATGCAGTGGTCTTGGAAAGTTCAAGGCTTTCCATGATGAGAAGTTCCTGCAGGGATGTTGGATGTACTGGAAAATAGTGAAAACATTATTATCTACATTGAATAAACAGAATCACATAATAATGACGGCACAGAAGGAAACCATTCAGCCCATCGTGCCTGCAACGGTTCTAACACCTAGTGTCAATGTCCTGCCTTTTCCCCATATCCCTTTAGTAACTATTTCTATCCAAATAGTACAACACAGATATACAGCACAGAAACAGACCACTTAGCTAAACCAGTCCATGATAGCCTATATGGTCCATGCAAGCCTATTCCTGTGTTTCCTGATCTAAATCTACCATCTGAACACTCTGCTTGACTCTCCCTTCAATGTTTATCTAGTTTCCTTTAAATGCATCCATGCTATTTGCTTCAACTACTCCCAGTGGTACTAATTTCTACATTGTCAACACGCTTTGTGCAAAATGTTTGTGTCACTTTATGGTCTGATTTTATGTTCTCGACGTTTTTATAAAAAACACAACATTTCAGATACAAGATTAAAGAACAAAGAACAGTACAGTACTGAAACAGGCCCTTCGACCCACCAAGACTGCACGACATATGACGCCTTTCTAAACTAAAAACCTGTTGCATGTATGTGGTCAGTATCCCTCTATTCCCTGGCAATTCACGTATCTGTTAAGGTCTGTCTATCGCATACCATAAAATGCTCCTGACCTATTTTAATGAGGGGCACTTTCGCTTAGCATTTTATGAAGAATCAAACATTTCTTTATTGGTCATTTTAGAAAACAATGCAAACGAGATACCTGTTTATCATTACTGGTCACATCACCGTCCCAAATGTGATCTCCTTAAAATGAGATACACTATTTTGAAAAAAAATGTCTGCAAGTATTTGAAGGCGATTCAATGCCAATAATGCGAGTGAGATTGTCTTCGTGGAGCCGTAGTTTCTACATTTTCCAAGGTGGCAAAATTAGGTGGTTAGTAAAGTGGTGTGGTTATTCTAACACTGTCCCCGATCAGCGAGGTGAGCGGGTGCTTTAATTAGGTGGAGCGCGGTAGCAGTTGGCTTCTGCCGTCAGGTTGCAGTGAGCCAAAGAGCAATGCTTCACATGGGACTTGGCGTGGGGCAGATGGTGTCTCGAGCCTGGAAGCGGGCCGTTGCTTTTGGAACGCGGACCCATTGTCTCGACACGGGGGAGACGGTCGAAGGCGCTCGCGAGGCTCTCCTCGAGACCGCCAGAGTGGACCGCTTCGGGGCGGTCACTGCCCATCTAGAGCCCAGGCACTTCTCACCGGAACTGGACGAGATCACATTTCAAAACATACTACAGGGCAAGTAATCAACTTTAACCTGCACCTTTGAGTTTCCGTATATTGTAACAGAGCCCAGCCAAAATTGAGGGTCATTCTATCAGGTTAAGTTGTGTACAAACTAAGAAATGTGCAGATTCCCATTTGATGATTTATTACGTGATCAATATATGTGCTTGTTATTTCTTTGTTCTGCAAAGTGTCACTCAGTATTTCTTTATTTTAAAATGCGATTCAATTTGCTGTTTTGTTATAAGACCATAAGATGTAAAATCAGAATTAGGCCATTTGGTCCATCGAATTGTTGCTGATATATTTCTCAATCCCATTGTCCTGTTTTCCGCCTTGTAACTCTTGGTCCCCTTATTAATCAAATACCTATCCAGCTCTGTCTTAAATACATTCAATGACTTGGCCTCCACAGCCCTCTGCGGCAATGAGTTCCATAGATTCATCATCCTGTTGCTGAAGAAATTCCTCCTCATCTTAGTTCTAAAGGGTCGTCCCTTCACTTGATGCTGTGCCTGGAGTCCTAGTCCCTCCTACTAGTGGAAACATCTTATCCACGTACACTATATCCAGGCCTTGGCATTCTGTTTCGATCAGATCCCCCCCCCATCCTTCTCAACACCATCAAATACAGACCCAGAGTCCTAAACTACAGCTCATATGACAAACCTTTCATCCACAGGATCATTTTCGAAAACCTCCTCTGGACACCCTCCAATGCCAGTGCGTCCTTCCTTAGATACGGTTCCAAAACTGCTCACAGTATTCCAAATACAGTCTGACTAGAGCTTTATACAGCCTCAGCTATACATTTCTGCTCTTGTAGTCCAGTCCTTTTGTAATGAATGCTGATATAGCATTTGACTTCCTGTAACTGCCAACTTAACCTGCATGTTAACCTTAAGAGAGTTTTGAACTAGGACTCCCAAGTCCATTTGTGCTTCAGATTTCTGAAGTTTTTCCCTGTTCAGAAAATAGTCTACACCTCTAATTCTCCTACCAAAGTGCATAACCTCACACTTGCCCACATTGTATTCCATCTGCCACTGCTTTGCCCATTCAACGTTAAGACCAGTTCCCAGGCATTTTGTTACGGTTATCAATGACATATCTCAAACTGTAGGGACAGGGTGAGGAAGGATGAACTGGCTCCACTTGGTTAATCACCAGCCATCTTGGTTGCAACAAGGTTAATTTTTAAAAGGATCCCTAGCCTCTCTCTGAGATCCAAATGAACTTATGTTGTAGAAGGAGCCAATGAAACCAGACTTTCTTCATTTAACAAAAGAGTGGGCTTATTGTTACTAAACACAATGAGAAATAATATTGCAACATACATAATGCAGGTTAAAAATAAGTTGTCAAAAAAAGATAAGTTTAAAAGATAACTGATTATTCTTTGATTGTGAAGAGCAGACAGTTGAACATGCAGCTGTTGCCAGTAACATTGACACTGGTTGTTGAACAGTCAATTTTGAGATTTTTGGCTGTGTCGGGTAATGGAAAGTTTTTTGTCTTGATTCCTTTCAGAAGTGGCTGTTGGGATGCACTCAGTGGGATGAGCCTTTTTCCTTTTCTTTATCTGCAGTTTTTAAGTGTGGTTCTAAGAGCTGTGACCTTCACAACACACAAGTCCACCCACAAAGATGTCAGGCCACTAACAAGTGCAGACCAGGATTGAAGATCACTTTTGACTTTTGTCCCAGTGTACTCTTGACAGGGTCTAAGGGACCACACATCCTTCCTTCTGGATTATAACCTGGAATAAAGAACTTGGGCCCTGCTGTATAGGAAAGAAGTACCAGGAGAGGTTTCTTTTCTACAGTTTGAAGATCAGGTGGGATTATATCACGTACACAAAATTATGTTGCTTTTGGAGCAGTGAGATGAATAATTTGAGTTAGAGTGGCATCTGAAGTATTTTAAGATGGGGACAAACTGCCTAGTGATAGCCTTTGGATTGGTCCAGCTGCAGTTTGTTACCGACCCATGTGTGCAGGGCAGTGCAGTCAGACATGCAAAAGCCTAGAAACAAAAACCATCTCTCATCAATCCTTTCTGTGAGTGAATCAGACAAAAAAAACTACAGACTTTAAAGAAATAATTCTATTGCAAAAAGAAACCGAGGTCAACCCAAATAGCTAATAAATCAAAGATTGACTGTTTGGTCTGCAGACAACATTACTTCACCATCAATCATCAAAAAAATCAAAAAGAACTGTGAGAAACAACTCTCATCCCACCCTTGTGGTCTGGTTCTTGAACTACAGAATTTGTTTTCCATCTATATTTTTTTCACCCACAATATTAGTGTCAGACCTTTTTATTTTGTCTTATTTATGAATGAATGTGATTTCATTTGGGGCTTTAAAGGGGTATTGCATAGCACTATATCAATAATCTATCTTTTGCCAATTGTTAAAGAATAAGTTTATTTACACTAAATCATTATTTTCCTGTTAATGATAAAACCCAGTGACAAAGATTAGTGGGAAACTAGGGCATTGGGAAATCTTTAAAGGTCAACAGAAAGCCACAAAAAAGCTATAAAGAAAGGTAAAATGGATTATGAGAGTAAATTAGCTCAGAATATAAAAACAGATCACACAAGTTCCTACAAATGTATAAAACGAAAAAGAGTGGCTAAGGTAAACATTGGTCCTTCAGAGGGTGAGAAAGAGGATTTAATAATTTGAGATGAGGAAATGGCCAAGGCAAATTTTGTGTTGGTCTTCATATTGGACAAATAACATGCCAGTAATTGATGACAGGGAGGCTATGACAGATGAGGACCTAGAAACAATCATTATCACTAAAGAAATAGTGTTGGGTAAGCTAATTAGGGTAAAAGTAGACAAGTCTCCTGGCCCTATGAAATGCATCCCAGGGAACTAAAAGAGATGGCGGGAGAAATAGCAAATGCATTCGTGGTAATTTACCAAAATTCGCTGGACTGTGGGGCGGTTCCGGCACATTGGAAAACAGCAAATGTGACACCACTGTTTAAAAAAGGAGGTAGACAAAAAGCAGATAATTATAGCGAAAAAGCTATAAACAAGGAAGAAATAGTGAGACATCTGGATATAATTTGTCGAGCAGACACAGCATAGATTCGTGAAAGGCAAGTCATGTTTAACTAATTTACTGAAAGTCTTTGAGGACATTACGAGCGTAGTGAACAACAGGGAACTGGTGGATGTGGTGTATCTGGATTTCCAGAAGGCATTCAACTAGGTGCCACAGAAAAGGCTGCTTCATAAGATAAATGGTAACAGGTAATGTATTAGCATAGATAGAAGATTGATTAATTAACAGAAAGCAAAGAGTGAGGATAAATAGGTGCTTTTGTGGTTTGCGATCAGTGGCTAGTGGTGTGCCTCAGGAATCAGTGTTAGGAATGCAATTGTTTACATTTTACAGAGATAATTTCGAGTTGGGGACCAAACGTAGTGTGTCAAAGTTTGACATGACACTAAGATGAGTGGTAGAGCAAAGTGTGCAGAGGACCTTGAAAGTCTACAGAGGGACATAGATAGGCTAAGTGAGCGGGCAAGAGTATGGCAGATGGAGTACAATGTTGGTAAATGTTAAGTCATCCATTTTGGTAGGAATAACAGCAAAATGGGCTATTATTTAAATCGTGAAAAATTGCAACATGCTACTGTGCACAGGGGCCTGGGTGTCCTTGTGCATGAATCACAAAAAGTTTGTTTGCAGGTGCAGCACGTAGTTAAGTCAAATGGAATATTGTCCTACATTGCTACAGGGATAGAGTTTAAAATTTGGGATTATGCTGCAACTGGAAAGGGTGCTGGTGAGGCCACACCTGGATTACTGTGTACAGTTTTGTTCTCCTTGTTTGAGAAAGGATGCAGTGGCACTGGATGGGGTGCAGAGGAGGTTCACTAGGTTGATTCCCGAGTTGAAAGGGTTGGCTTATGAGGACAGACTGAGTAGACGGGGACTATACTCATTGAAATTTAGAAGAATATGGGTTGGGGGAGGGCGGAATCTTCTAGAAATAATTAAAATTATGAAGGGAATAGATTAAATAGAAGCAGGGAGGTTATTTCGACTAGCGGGTAAAACTAGAACAATGGAGCATAGCCTCAAAATAAGGGGGAGCAGATTTAGGACTGGATTGAGGAAGGAACTGTTTACCCAAAGGGTTGTGAATCTGTGGAATTTCCTGCCCAGTGAAGCAGCTGAGGCAACCTCACTGAATATTTTTAAGGCAAAAATAGATGGATTTTTGATTTTATTAAGGGAATTAAGGTTTATGGTGAGTGGGCGGGTAAGTGGAGCTGAGTCCATGAAGAGATCAGCCATGATCTTATTGAATGGCAGAGCAAGCTCGACGGGCCAGATGGCCTACTCCTGCTCCTATTTCTTCTGTTCTTATTAGTGTAAATTGGCTTTCTCCTGAATACCAGTCACAGGCAAATTAATCATCTTGGTGGTTCACTTAGGTTGTACACCTTTGCAGTGGCTTGTGGAGTGGTGGTATCAGCATGTTTTTGCCAATCAAGTCACATCTAGAAGAAAACATGATGTCGCTCACCTAGACTGCTGTTTATTTTTAGCCATCATGTTCACAGTTTGAGATACTCCCAGGAGATTAACAATTCAGATTTTAGTGCACTTTCTCCCTTTGAAACTGCTTTGAAACCTCATCAGGTGTGACATTCCAGATTTATGTCTCTCTTTCCAGGCAGCCACTGAGCCAGCGTTTTGTTATGTGTCCTTGCTCAAAAGAAACCATTGTAGTTAAAGTTCCATATGTCCAAATAGTGATCCAGGATTATGATCCGTGGTCATGACATATCACGACTCATAGAGTCATAGAATCATACTGCATGCAAACAGACCCTTCGGTCCAACTAGTCCACACTAACCATGTTCCCAAACCAAACTAGTCCCACCTGTCTGCGTTTGGCCCCCATATCCCTCCAAACCTTTCCTATTCGTGTAGTTATCCAAAAGTCTTTTAATTGTTTCTATCTGTACCTGCATCTACCACTTCCTCTGGCAGTTCATTCCACACATTGACCATTCTCTATGTCAAACAGTTGCCCCTCATGTCCTTTTTAAATCTTTCTCACCTTAAAAACATGCCCCCTAATTTTGAACTCCTCCACCTTAGGGAAAAGACCTTTGCTATTCAGCTTATCCATGCCCCTCATTATTTTATAAATCTCTATAAGATCACCCCTCAACCTCCAATGCTCCAGTGAAAAAAGTCTCAGCCTATCCAGCCTCTTTTTATAACTCAAACCCTCCGTTCCTGGCAATATCCTGCTGAATCTTTTCTGAATGATTTATTCTCATCTCTTTACAAAATCAAGAAAATTGAAAGAGAAAAAACAAAATAAACAGAAAACAACAGGCATGCATGCATTCCTTCCTTTAGCCTTGGTCAGTCATATCTCTTCAGTTCTAACTGAGGGTCTCAGTTTTGAAGAGGGTATCTGCAATCACGTTTGATTTCCCAGCTTCATAGATGATCTTCAAGTGGTATGGATGAAGAATCAAGCTCCAACTGAATTACCTGGCATCACAGTCTTAAGCCTTTTTTGACAAAGGTGTCACGGATTGTGGTCAGTATATGCTGTGGGGTCTCTGTATCCATTTTGGACATGTATCTCAAAATTTTGAAGGCTAGTAATAAACTGAGGATTTCCTTCTCCATTGTAGAGTACCATCTGTGACATTTGCCTAGTTTTTTGGAGAAGTACATAATTGAACCCACTATTTTGTATTGGCTTCCTAAAGAGGACAGCGTCTGACTCCAATGTCACTTGCATCGATGGCTACTTTAAGTGCTCGAAAATTTGAATCTGCAAGCGCTGGCTCACTTTTTAAAATGGCCGTCAGCTTTTCATAAGCAGTTTTGCATTTCTAAGTCCATGCTACCTTTGTTTTTTTTTCTGTAGTAGGTCTTATTGGTGCATCTGATTTTTTGGAATGAACTTTCGGTAGTGCAGATACAGTCCCAAGAAGCTCATGATTTCTCATTTCTTTGTGGAAATGAGGAACCATGCTGTTGTCTTTATTCTTTAAAATGGAAGTACCAAAAATGTTTGGTTAGCCCTGCTGTGACACTGTAAAATAATACAAGCTAATGGTGAATCCCCCAAACTTACTAAATTAAAATAATATTGCATCCCAGCTGCAGCAGTGCCCACTGGCCTCTAAAGGCCTGTGTCATGTTGTTTCGCACCTCATACTTCCTTGCTACGGACCCGAGTGCAAATGAAACCGCGAAAGAGGAGCAGTCAGGCCCTCCATGATCTGCTGCCTGGACCAGTTAATGGCCGTTTTGGCCAGGGACAGGAGCAGTTCCATGAGAATAATGTCTCTCCCTCCCGCCATGGGGTGTGAATAAATCAAGACCATGGGGCTGAAGTGCAACCAAAATTTAAGGAGCTGCACATTCAAAAACCAAAATAGGGTTGCAAATGAAAACATGCAACATAAGTGTGATTATACCATTTCCTCCAGGCCAGTAAACTACATGTGGCCTGACACCTGGTGTACATACACAACCCATGATTGCATGGGATTGCTGTGTGCAGCACTATCCACCCTAGATCCCCAATTGAGGAGAGGACCCTTCTGTGGAGGGCCCTCCACTGGGCATCTGCACCACTGGAGGGTAAAACATTATGCCAAGATATGTCTGAGTGGCATATAAAAGTGACGAAGTGGCAAGTGTGCAGCAGCTGCCCATACAGGAAACATTTCAGTGCCATATCTTCAACAACCTAAACGCCATACCGATGACTTATCTCTTGTATCAATTAAAATAAAAGACAGAGAAAGAAAGGGAGCAAATAATAAAAGAAATTAGGTGAATTATAGGCAGATAAAATGTATGGAGACAGAAAGGGGAATAAAGAAAGAGAATAAATGAAGAGAGAAAATGACAAAGCCTTTCAAAAAACAAAACAAGCAGAATTTAAAAAAACATTGTAACTCAGTATTTTTTTCAGTTGTTCAATTAGACGTTCATGGTTGTTTGGTAGAGCAGATGTGCAAAATGTACAGACATTTATGATCTGTGGTATAGAACTATTTGGTGTAATAATTAGTAGTAGAGAAAGTGTTTATTGTTTGCAACAGTGCACTGATTTCATTGAAACAAAGGATTTAATAGACAATGAAAAATAAAAATACATGTTATTCATCTTTTTCCATTCTGGTAATCATGTGGTATAAGGCTAATTATTGTGATCAATCTCTCAATAAGCCTACAACAGACTCAGAAATGACTCGAAGAAACCTACAGTGTTGGAGAATATTGAGACCTGTAATCCAAAGACACCTTTTTTCCTACCATGACATGTATAAAGTTATGTTTTGGGACAATTCTTTAATTAAAAGTAAAATGATACAGTGCGAGGGGTCCTGGGACCTATTCTTAAACCTGCCTGACAGTAAGCCTAAGTGATTAAATCATTAGATGGTTAAAGAGGGCCCAGCTAGCTACTTCAAAGGAGGTGAAAGTTGTTTAAACTTAGACACAATAGTTTGAGCCTGTTTTAACGGTGGAAAGACGGTGAATCTCAAAGTCTCAGAAAGTGTTGAGAATGTTGGATTGCAAACAGTTGTGTTCTGAACAGTCCATTTAGTTCCAAGATTAAATTTGGCTCTGAGAGGCAATTAACTAGCAACTAGGGCTGCATAAGAGGTCTATGTGATTCATTTTTCATGGTGATGGGTTTTGAGACTGGAAGGGTAAAGCAGAAACCGTTGTGATATCGTGTATAGGTTTTCTTGAAATATCATTGTGCATCACAGGAGTCCACTAGGTTGAGAGAGCAGCTAGAAGCTAAAGGTCTCAATGGTTCATCATGCAGCAATGCGGATGGAACTTTATACTCAATTGGAAAAGACCGAAGTCATGAGTTAAAGTGAAGCTGGATGACTCACCTCGTTAATGTTAGAAAGAGGATCTCTGGTGGTACTCTCACTGTGAAGGATATTCTGGAGTTCAGTTTACCAGACTAAGAAAATAAAAGAATAGAAGTAACACCTCAATTTATATTTGAACTGATTTTGCCAGAAATTAATATCTACTTTAAAGGAAATATAATATGTGAAGTGTTGGCACAGCTTCTGTCTCCACAGATGCTGCCTGGCCTGCTGAGTATTTCCAGCATTTTGTGTTTACATTTTAAATTTCACATAAATATTAATTGCACATAAATATTTCACAGATATGTATTTCTGATGAAGGATCCCTGATCAATGTCTCTCTTTGTTCAAATGCTGCCAGACTTGCTGAGTTTTTCCAATACTTCCTGTTTCCATTGCAGCAAAAGTAACCCCTTTTTCCACCTCATTAAAAACAGTCAGGCTTATTTTGAGCCTCTGGTTGCCCTCAAACAACATAGCAACGACTGCCTGAGATCTGGTTTTGTGCAACAGTAAACATGATTATTTTTTTCAAATAAAAGTATTCAAGAAAACATAAACATGTTGCTGAGCAAAAAAATGCTAAAGCACTAAAAGCAATGTTAATATAATTATAAAATGAGTAGCAGAATTAACTAATAATAACTTTTTTTGACTTTTGCTTAAACAGAGCGAGGAAGAACTATAGAAGGCCCCAAGTCCTACTCCTCTAGAAAAGGTAGAGGACTAGGACCAATCAGAGCTGTTTACTTTAACGTGCATTTGCTTTCCATGTCTGATGAATCCTTTTTGGAAGCAATTCTTGTGATCTGAGTAAGAATGATTGCCTTTGACACCATGGGTATGTTTAACCGAGTGAAGATCGAAGATCCTTGACAAAATTGAAAATAGTGGGAAATGGGGAGAACTCTCCACTAGTTGGAGATATACCAAGCATTAAAGAAGATGATTGTTGTTTGGAGTTTAGTCATTTCAGATTTAAAAGGGACCTAAGGGACAACTTTTTCATGCAGAGGGTGGTGTGTGTATGGAATGAGCTGCCAGAGGAAATGCTGAAGGCTGGTACAATTACAACATTTAAAAGGCATCTGAATGGGTATAAGAATAGGAGAGGTTAAGAGAGTTTTTCCTACATAGATGATTGTTAGGTTGTTGATTGCCTTTCCAGAAACAGTGATGGAACCAGAATGTAAGTTCACTTTCAAAAAGAAGATGAATTAACATTTGAAAAAGAAAAGTTGGAATGGCATGGGTAAAGGGCAGGGAAGGGCTCAATGGATACCTCTTGGACACTGGCATATTTATGATGAGATGAATGATCTTCTTCCATGTCCTACAGTTTGATGTCTTAATTGACAATACTATACACAATGTACTAAAGCACTTTATGGATGAAGTGTTATTTTTTCAGATGTAACTGTTCTGTAAGTATTCAAAGAAAATTTGAGTCAGGAGCAATAGTAATTATTCTTCACATGTGAGCCTAGATTGTGAATTTGTGTTCCAGTTGACTGACGAATTATGTGTCTGAACGTGAGGTGATGCACTTTAGGAGGAAAACAAGGAATATAAATTTACAGCCAATGAAACAAATTTAAACAATGAGATTCCCAAAGGGTTCAAACACCCTGAATTAAGGGAAAACAAAGTTTTAAAAAAAGGCTGGCAGTGTTTTGAGTTTAAAATTCAAGAGTGACAATTGATTATTGTCATCCCTTCTTCACAAGATCATTGTTCTCAGTTATGAAAGTCTATTCTGCTTCAGAGTTACTTTAAAGCTGTCTTTTTAACTCTCTTTCTGATTATCAATGTGTCATAATAACTAACATAAAACAAGACATTGGAAGGAATAATGTCTACAATTCATAGCTTTAAATAGGATACAACATGCTTTATTTCTTTTGTAGATGCTATCAAGCACTGGAAAGCAGAAGGCAGGGTGGCAGTCTGGCTGCATGTTCCTATACTCCAGAGCAGGTTTATACCTGGAGCAGCTGCTCAAGGTTTTACATTTCACCACGCGGAAAAGAACCAATCCACGTTGGCACTGTGGCTAGCTAAAGGGGAAAGCAGGCTTCCTGCTTATGCCACACATCAAGTTGGCGTGGCAGGTGAGTGAAAACCTTCAATCTTGGTCAGTGATTTAGAGTGACTGTTTCTTCATTTTTTTTATTTAGGAAATCATAGTGATCACAAAACCCAAAAATTAGCACTGGTGAGAAATGCTAATCCTCAAGCCAAAATAAAGCTGCAGTCCTATTACAGAATCAGATATTTTTCCAGGCCCTGAATTTTCACAGACACAGGATTGATCTACGCCTTAGGCAGAATGGCATTGGAACCCTGATTCCAGAAATCCTTCCCCAAACCCATGTCTAAGGATCTTTGGTGAATTTCTGCTGCGCATCCTGTGGATAGTACACACTTAGTTCCTTGAAACTAGAGTCACAGGTAGACAGGATAGTGAAGAGGCATTTGGTATGCTTGCCTTTATTGGTCAGTGCATTGAGTGTAGGTGTTGGAAGGTCATGTTGCTACTGTACAGACATTGGTTAGGCCACGTTTAGCATACTGTGTTCAATTCTGGTCTCCCTGCTATAGGAAGGATGTTGTGAAACTTGAAAGGGTTCAGAAAAGATTTACAAGGATGTTGGCAGTGTTGGAAAGTTTGAGCTATGGGGAGGGGCTGAATTGGCTGGGGTTATTTTCCCCAGAAGCTGAGGGGGTGACCTTACAGAAATTTATAAAATCATGAGTGGCATGGATAGAGTGAATAGCGAAGCTCTTGTCTCTATAACTTTATTCTTTTATTTCAGATTACTGCATCTGCACTTCTTTGTTTTATTTAAATACTTTCTTTAACCCAACCCAGCAGACTTTAAGATCACAGTTTTAATGAGTCATTGTAGAACATGGAACACCTCTTGTACTTCTGTTTCACCAAACTTATAAAGCTGATACAAAAACAAAGTTGCTGGAAAAGCTCAGCAGATTTGGCAGCATTTGTGAAGGAAAAAAACAGAGTTAACGTTTCGAGTCCGGTGACCCTTCCTCAGAACTGTTCTGAGGAAGGGTCACTGGACCCGAAACGCTAACTCTGTTTTTTCCTTCACAAATGCTGCCAAACCTGCTGAACTTTTCCAGCAACTTTATTTTTGTCCCTGATTTACAGCATCCGCAGTTCTTTCGGTTTTTATAAAACTGATCATTCCTGATTCAAACATTACAATATCATTTTCTTGTGGGATGGGAGAGAGTTAGCGTCAACTGTATGAATGCCCAAATTACAGCCAAAGGTGACTGTATGAGTGATGAGAGCAAAAGAAAATTGCTATCCAGCTCTTTGCAAATCACTTGTACATTTCTTATTCCCCTTAAGATCAGGCTGACATTTTTCTCTCTAAAGCAGAGAAATAAGCCTGCTTCATGTTCCAGAATATTCAGTATTTTATCTGCTGTATTTATAACACAGATAAATGATCCCACCTGCTATGTCCTAAAACCTCCCCAGAAACTACTAGAAATTGCTAAACGTGCAGCACTCCAGCGAATGTCATTCCAATGACTGTTACCATGAACTTAATGCATTTTCAGAAGCAGTAATATAATTTTCATAAAGAGATTTAACCTGTTAGAAGTTAAATAAACTGATAATGGGATTTACTAACCAACAATTAGTCAATATAAAAGCAAATCATTTGTATACTAAGTTTCTTGATTTTTAAAAGTTTGTCTCTTATTTTGGTTATAGGGTTTAAAGTAGTACTTATGGTGGCTCCATCTTCTAAGATCAATTCTATTTTTGAAAAATAATCCCAGAAGGATTTAGAGAATTTAATATTTCTTCTAGTATGTGCACAGAATCCAGATCTTATATCAGTACATGCTACTTAAAAAGAAAACTTCAGTAAAAATATGAGAGCTACTGCAAAAGTCTACCTTTTGATAGATCACCCACGTCAAACTCCTATTTATTGACTTTAGCTCCAACTTCAACACCATAATTCCAACTAAGCTCATCTCCAAACTCTGAGACATAGGACTGTGCTCTCCCCTCTGTAACAAGATCCTTAACTTCTTAATACATGGACCGCAATTAGTAAGGATAGGCGACAACACTTCCTATGCGATAATCCTCGATTACTATTGTTTGGCCAAATTCAGTTCTAACTCCACTCACAAATTCACTGATGACACCACCATGCTGAGTCAGACCTCAAACAATGATGAAACAGAGTACAGAAAAGAGACAGAGAGCTTTGTGCCATGATGTAAAGACAAAAATCTCTCCCTCAATGTCAGCAAAATGGAGAAAATGGTCATCCACTTCAAAAGTAGAGTGGAGGACACGCCCCTATCGACATCAATGATGCTGAGGTGGAGATGGTTGAAAGCTTGTTCCTAGGAGTAATTATCACCAATAATCCGTCCTGGCCCATCCATGTCGATGCTACGGTCAAGAAAACACATCAATGCCTATACTTCCTCAGAAGGCTAAGGAAACTTGGCATGTCCTCAATGACTCTTACCAATTTTTATAGATGCATCCTATCCAGATGCATTACAGCTTGGTATTGCAACTGCTTTACCAAAGACCGCAAGAAATTACAGAGTTGTGAACACAGTCCAGTCCATCACAAAAAGCAACCAACGGAATCAAAGACCCCTCTCACCCTGGTTATACTCTGTGCATCCTCTTCCATCAGGCAGAAGATACAGAAGTTTGAAAACACATACAAAGAGATTCAAGAACAGATTCTTCCCTGCTGTTCTCAAATGAACGAATGGGAACCTTTTTTATATATGAGAGCTGATGTTACTCTGAACCTCCACTGTAGCTTAACACTATATCCTACATTCTGTTCTATTACCCTGATGTACTCAAGTAAGGTATGATTTGTCTGGATAGCAAGCAAAACATGAGACAATAATAAATCAAATTAAACCTGTGTCCCCTAGTATTTCACATTTCCATCCTGGGAGAAAGACTCCCAACTATCCATGCCTGCCATAATTTTATATACTTCTATCAGGTGGTCCTCTGACGCTCTAATGAAAACAATCCTCTCCTTATAGCTGATACACTCGAATGGAGGCAACATCCTGGTAAACCTCTTCTATACCCTCTCCAAAGCCTCTACATCATTCCTACACAGTGGGAACTAGAACTGCACACCATACTCTAAATGTGGCCTAACTAAAGTCTTATATAGCTGCAACGTGATTTGCCAACTTTTATACTCAGTGCCCTAACTGATGAAAGCAAACATAAATACACCTTCCTTACTTATTCGCTTACATTGCCACTTTCAGGGAGCTGTAGATTGGATCCCAAGATCTCTATGTATATCAATGCTTCTAAGGGGCATGCCATTAACTGTATACTTCCTTCTTGCATTTGACCTTCCAAAATGTATCACCTTACATTTGTTCAGATTACAGTCCATCTGGCATTTCTGCACCCAACTTTCTCACAGATCTATATCCTGCTGTATCCTTTAATAATCTTCCTCACTGTCACAACTCCTTCAATTTCCATGTCGTCTGCAAACTTACTAATCAGGCCACCTCCTATTTCATCTAAGTCGTTTGTATAGATTACAAACGACAGAAGTCCCTGCACTGATCTTTGCGGGACACCATTGTTCACAGACCTCCAGTCAGAAAAACACTTCTCCATCACTCTGTCACCTGTGACCAAGCTAATTTTGTATCCAATTTGCCAATTTACCATGGATCCCATGCAACTTAATCTTCTGGACCAGCCTGTCGTGAGGGACCTTGCCAAGTGCTTTAATAAAGTCCATGTAGACAACATCTACTGCCCTACCCTCATCAACCATCTTTGTCACTTCCACAAAAAACTCAATCAAGTTTGTGAGACAAGACCTCCCCGAATGCTGACTATAAGTCCATACTTTTCCAAATACAAATAAATCCTGTCGCTAAGAATCCTTCCCAATAAATTTCTTGATGTAAAATTCACTGGTTTATAATTTCCTGGATTATCCCTGATGCTCTTCTGAAACAAAGGAACAACTTTGGCTATCCTCACCTGTGGCTAAAGATGAGACAAAGATCTCTGTCAAGGCCCCAGCAATCTCCTGCCTTGCCTCCTTCAGAATGCTGGGATAGAAGACGCCCAACTCTTCCTCCTTCTTAATATTGACATGCCCCAGAATATCAACATACACCTCCCTTAGCTTACTATCATCAATATCTTTCTCCTTGGTGAATACTGATGCAAAGTGGGGACCTCAAACACTTCATCTGGTTTCACGCATAATTTCCTTTATCCTTGCGTGGACATCTTTTCCCTAGTTACCCCCTTGCTCCTAATATATGTATAAAATGCTTTCTCCTTAAGCTTACTTGCCAAGGACATTTTGTGGCCCTTTCTAGGCCTCTTAATTTCTTATTTAAGTTCTTTTTTGCTTCTTTTATATTCTTAAAGGGCCTTGTTTGATTTCAGTTTCCTAAATCTTTACATATACTTCCTTCTTATTTTTGACTATACTTTCAAAATCTCTTATCATCCAAGGTTCCTGAATCTTACCATTCTTATCTTTCATCCTCACAGGAACATGCTGGTTCTGATGTCTGATCAACTGGCCTTTAAAAGATTCCCACATATCAGATACGGATTTTCCCTCAAACAGCCGCCCTCAATCCAATTTCTCCACTTCCCGCCTAATTTGTTGTAATTAACCTTCCCCCAAATTAACATCTAATAAATTCTGCCCCATCTAAAATGCTGGCACTAAGGGCATCGCAGTCAATGTTAGGGAAGTTAAAATCACCCACTACAACAACCCTATTGTTGTTTTTATTGCAAAAACATATGTTATTCATAAAAATTCTTTATCTACATTCACAGGTATTAGAGCAGTTCTGTACAGTCTTGGCCTATCAAGAAAAACAAACATTGGAATTAAACATTTCCTGTAGTTGCAAAAACCAAAGGCATTTCTTACTCATGCAGGATAAAATTTGAATTTCTTGAGGCAACGAGAGAGTCCGATAATTGAACAGACTCTTGTTAAACTTTGACAGAAAGCCTTAGACAGTAGTCTTACCCCACCGAGCCTTGGTGGCAGCTGCTCCAAGCTTT